AAAATACTTCCTCCATTCATTCAAAGAGACACGCATTCACCATGTTATGTAAAGTACTGGTGGGTAGCAAAAACATTGTACGCAAGTAAGACTAATATTACTTAAAATAATGTTACTCAAGAGGAAGTACAACAAAGTCAGAAATGAGTAATGATTAACAAGATATTCAGGGAAACTACTTCTGAAGTAAGACATCTGATTTATAATTTGAAGTTAATGTAGTTGGAAGCACAAAATATTAAATAATGCAGTACATGAACTCTATATTTTCAAATGCACTGTAAAATATGTTACTCAAGTAGGAGTAAAAGGGTGCTGTCAAAAAGTACTCTGAGAAGTACAAATTCTTCAAAAAGTTACAGAAATAAATATAACTGAGTAAAAGTAACTGAATAGCCACCTCTGGAATTATGTAATGTGAAATGTAATGTTCTTGTTGTTTTGATGGAGTGGTCAGCGGTCACTTTAATGCAGGGCTGAAAATGGGCAGTATACTTTTTTTGTGTTTTTTTTAAGTACGTTTACATTTTAATTCAGATAGGTAGTGTGATAGAAATTGAGATCGGTCTTGAGATCCCTTTTTTAGGGTCTTGGTCTCGTCTTTGACTCGAGCACATTTGGACTCGGTCTTGGTCTCGGTCTTGTCTTGGTCTGACACTTGATGAGATCATATTTCACCACAGCCTGTAAATGTTAGTCAGGCTGGCGCCACCTAGTGCCTCTGCTCAATTTAATTTCTCTCCAGCGACTAGGTCAGGAATCTGAATACACTAGACACAAGAAATCTGGAAGTCGTAGACCAGGTACTGGCAAATCAGTGAAGAGCTGTGAAGCCATGACGTCAAACTCAAGCGTCTGTCTGAGTCCCTTTTGTGGAACAGCACAACAGTAAACAAAGCGATCGAGACGGATGTAGACAAAGATGTACGTTTTTTGTTGGTAACGATTCCTGAGATCGAGGATTTAAAGCCAGAACAAAGAGAATGTTTGTTGAATTTTATCAGGGGGAAAGACGTTATTGTCCTTCTTCCTATGGGATTTGGGAAAAGCTTAATACACCAGTTAGCCACGTTAGCGCCGTCGAGCGAACAAATGCTGTAAGGTCAGACCGTTTCCACGAAGTGAAACCGGCTGATGAATCAGGCTAGTGTAAATGTGCAGATGCTGCTAAATATCGCTGCAAAACCAGTAAGATAACATAACTGTAAATGAAATTGAAAAAACCTACTTGTTTCACTTTGAAACAGTTTTCTGTGAAGTGCCAGTGGGAGTGGGATTAAAGAAGAGGTTCTCAAACTGTGGGTCAGTGTCCAGAGTGTTAAATGCAATACAGTTTGCTTGGCCTATTTTAAGCTTAAATGAACATTAATCAGATAAAATGGTAACTGTAAAATACAAATAAATGTAAGAAATGACAAAGATGGTCTTGATTGGTCTCAATGAGCCGTGGTCTTGGTCTTGTCTCAGTCTCTACCAGAAGTGGGACCAAGTCCTTGTTATGCAAGTCTCAAGTCTTTGACCTCAAGTCCGAGTCAAGTCCCAAGTCAAATACAGCCAAGTCCAAGTCAAGTCTCGAATCACTGGCCCACAAGTCCAAATTAAGTCCAAGTCGTCTGCTTTGAGCTTAAAGTCTTTTCAAGTCTTTAAACCAAATTACCCAATATAGTTTAGATTTTTGCAGTTTATATGAATTTTAAACTAAATTGTACTTAAAAAGACTTGGTATATATGGTATATTTATATATATATATATTTCCAGAGTATACAAGAGTTCTAGAAATTAATTTAGTTAATTTTTCCTTTTTAAATGTTTTGACAAAATCTTAGAGTGAATCATTACAGTCAGAATAGAAAGAATTCAGATTTAAAAGTGCTTCTCAAATCTTCTCAAGTCACTGACCTTGAAGTCCAAGTCGAGTCCTAAGTCTTAGTCCATTTTATCAAGTCAAGTCTCAAGTCCTAAAAATAGTGACTAGTGACTCAAGTCTGACGCAAATCCAAGTCACGACTTGCACATCCCCATCTCTGGTCTCAACCTTTAAAAGTCTTGGTCTTGTCCTGGTCTTGGTGTCGTTTAGTGCAGTTTTGACTACAACACTACAGACAGGGCAGGGGGCTCTATAACTCAGGGAGATTCACTGCTTTTGAAAGAAACAACCAAACTTCTGACCCACAGATGTTGACGTTTGTCATTATTTATCAGGGATTGGCTCCACAGATTTGTCACAGTAATCTTACGGTTTAGCATTAGGATTAAGCCCTTTCAGATAACTATCCTGAATTTGGGGTTGTACGAGGGCACCGCTAATCCTTTAATGAAGTAGGTACTAAGCCTGAATCACTCTTTAAAAACTATTTGTTCATTATGAATTAAGTCTTTGTTCATGGTTTATGTTTTGTTTATATTTTTACAGTCAAATAGGCGTGGTTATGATAAAGTTGTACCATTATTTTTTATGATATTTTCACTAATGCCTTTATGTGGCTGATTCAATTCAAATGTATGAAGTGAAAATAGACAGAATGATCCCTTTGTTGCATCACCTTTCTCTCGATGATCTCTGCAGCCAGCCTCATTGCGTGTCGGTAGGTCCTGCACGAGGACGGGAGTCGGACCACCTCTCGATAAAGTCCCAACTGAAACTGGACCAAAGCCAGGCCTGGATCCTGGGACATGATGGAAACTAGAAAGAGAAAAAATAATACAGAGGTTATCTTTGGAAATGTGAGATTATATCGAGTGTGGAAAGAGGAAATGCTGCTTGTCTACTTTGTAAATAAAGTCCAGATTTCAGATTAAGACAGTTTGAGCAGGTACAGAGGAGGGATGGCAGTAAATATATGAGCAGAATATTTTATTGATATAATAACTGAGAGAATAAACCACTGAAAATTTTGTTTGTTAAAAATTTCCAATAGTTGAGGTCTGAATTCTAAAGCAAGGATGAATTAAATATTAAATTAACTTGCTGCCAATGCTATGTGGAAAAACACAGTGAGATATTTCATTACTCCTAGAATTAAATAACAAGGTAATTGCTGGAGAAACTGTGGACAATCATCAGTTGGATATTTTCACATATTCTCGCAACGTCCCAAGATTGCTCCTTACTGGACAGAGATCATTGAAAAACATTAAGCTTGTTACAGCACTGAAATTGGAGGAGTGTATTTTATTCGGGAAACATACCAACTGGGCTGAAAAACAAGACAGATACCTTCTTCAAGCAGCCAGCAAGAAGGCGATCACACAAAAATGGCTACAGGACAAACCTCCTACTGTTTCAGAATGGGCTGAAATAATCAACGAAATTCAGGTTTTGGAACGAACAACATTTTCCTTGAGACACTCGTCTGATAAAGGAGAACTGTGCTGGAAAAAATGGAAATCTTACAATCAAAACAAAGCCCAATGTAAATTTGTATACATCTTTGCAGTTGTCACTTGCTTGATGGCCTCCCATTTCATTTTTATTTTATTTATTTATTTTTTTTGGTTGGTCTGACGATTCATTCTGTTCTACAAGGCTCATAATTTGTGTATGTAAATATGTGTGATATATAAAACTAAAACGTTCTTATAAAAATAAATAATAAATAATAATAATAATAATAATAACAACTTGCTGTCCAACACAACAACCTAACCAAGCCAGTGTATTTAAAGCTGCGCAACGTAACTTTTCTATCACTGTCTTGTCTCCATGGAGATGTCATTACTTTGAAACGAATTGATTTACTGAATTAAACTTTTTTATTTACGTGAAGACAAGCAGTTGACTCCAGCAGGCTAAATTCCAGGTCAAGTTTGGGGAGACAAATAAAAACACCTGCAAATGAATAAAGACAAGCTAGATCTGATTAATGCTACACTGTGGAACATTTCAGCCAAGACAGCAGCACTACAACAGAAGCATGGAGAAAAGCAAGCGTCGCACCCCTCACCACAAAATTTATAAAGAAAAAAATACTTGGACTTTTATTTGGATTATCCATTTATTATTTTTATTTATACACTCGGGAGTGAGAAACAATTTTGATTCTTCATGTTTCGTATGAAGAAATGACCATAAAATTTTTTTAATTTGAATTAAAAATAATTTTCCTGGAAATAATAAGGAAGAAACTCATGGTACTGTATTGTGAATAGAACAGCAACCGCATCGTTTGGTTGTTTTACACGCAATCACAATAACATTACTCAAGTGGAAGTACAAAGTAGTGTTTCAAGTAATTAATCAAGTAAAAGTAAACAAGTATTTGGGAAAAATACTACTCAAGTGACTTAAAGAGTAACTGTCAGGACAACATCTGATTTATAAATTTGAGTTAATGTAATTTGAATTTCAGGACAAAAAAGGAGCAGAAATATTCAAATAATTCATATGGTCAACATAAAGCTTTTGTCAGTCGTGATCAACCAAAACTCAAGTAAGAATAAAGTTACTTCAATAAAAATAGTACTCAAGTAGAAGTACGCTGCAAGAAAAGTAGTCTGAGAAGTACAATTTCTTTAAAAAGTTACTGTAAAGTAAATGTAACAGAGTACTACCCAGCTCTGATTTCAAGAAACAAAATGAATTCACATAAACAAAACAAATCTTGCGTTATCATTCAAACAAAATTGCATGAGAAACTACAGCATGACTGTAAGAGCTAAAGCCCAAATCAACAATATGCACATTTAGATTTACAGTTTAACATTTTCAGACCAAAACCACAATAAAGTTAACAATAGAGTCTTACTTGCTTAGTGAGTTGCACAGAAGTCTTTGTTGAATTGCACAACGGCTCATGGGTCCATTCTTGTTCTTCTTCTCTTGTGAACTGGCTGCGGTAGATTTATTTCCTTTAGCAGGAAGTTACAGAAGAGACATACCTTATTTAGACCAAGCGCCAAACTTCACGCACGCCAACACCAAATAATGACAATGATAACAGTAATGAACACAGTAAAGTTCAAAAGTTAAGCCTATTTTTATTGACATTTAATTGGCCCCTTTTACAATTCCGTATCATGAGAAGCGAGACAGCAGCAGTATACAGTAGTACAGTACAGTTTTATGACAGTGGGTAGGTAGTAGTCAGTAGTACTTCTATAAATATTTGGACACCATTTTGAAATCTGCACTTTACATTGAGAATTATTTACACACTGATTTTAAATAAACCAAGTGTCCATATATCTACAGATTATTAAAATGACTAGAGCATCATTTCTTATTGCAGGTCATTGGAACAGTTAGACGGGAGTTTCTGATTTCTTAAAGCTGCATTGTAAATTTTTTAGTGGAGGTTAGAGCTTTGCCTAGCATGTTCCGCAATACGGCATTAAGCATATCAACATTAGAGCAGGTTACTCGCCCCCAAGATGAAATAAATGGTAAATATATGTGCAATAAAAGTGAAAAAAAGCAAAACGAGCTCAGATGGCCGATGTCCCAAAGGGTTTTAAAAAATTTTTTAAAGCGTTTCGGCAAAAAAGCTGCAAGAAAAATGATCTGACGAAGGCTTTTTTGCCGAAACATTATTCAAAAATTAAAAAAAAAAAAGCTTTGAGACATCGACCATCATTTTTTACACTTTTATTTTACTGTTCCTTGCATTTGCACCTCTACAAGAACTTTTGTGTGCATTTTCCTCATTAGATATACGTTTAATGCCTTACTGTGGAACATTCCAGACAAAATCATGACATCTCCATGGAGACAAGCAGGTGGCAAACCCTCCGCAACCGCCAGAAACATTACATAGCGCAGCTTTAATTTTAACTCTAGTTTATTGTAAGCAATTGTATTCTATTGTGCTGATTTAAGAGTAGTGATTTGAGATTATTTTATGAATGAGTGACTATCTGGCCATCACAAAATACTATTATTTTTGTACAATATTTGTGATAAACTAACTTATCTCCCAAATCATTTTAATAATTTCTTTCAACAGTTTCTACTCCTTGTTCACTTTGTTCTTTTACATCTACAAAATAAAAAAAATCTAAACTTGATAGATAAAACATTCAAACACAGGAATTTTTTTAAAACAATCTATAGTTTGTTTGGAATTGTGAACTCAATTAGTGAAATATTTGACTTTTAAGATTAACCTAGATTAATTATAATGTGAAGTTTTAGAAGAGAAATCATACACAGTTCCCATATTTACATTCTCTGGACTATTCTCTTGGTATTTGACTTGCTTTGGTTGACATCAGCAAATAACCAAGCAAACAAAACAATATGTGGAAATTTCACTGCATCACCTGCACGACTTTCACGTCTCATTCAGAAAATCAGTCAATTCCAACCAGTGAGTCTCAAAGTGAGGTTTGCCGTCCCCTAGTGGACTACAGACGTACTGCATCAAGTTTAACAATGCAAGTGTCTTCATTCATAGAGATTCATTCTTAAAACGAGGGATTGTTTTACACATTTAAACCAAGAATTGGTGGTGAAAGAAAGAACATTTGTCACTTAGGTTTACAAGAAAAACACAAAGAATACAGTGAAATGATTGTAAACTAAACTAGTTTCAGTCAAGAGATGTTTGAAAAAAAGGCTCACCATGTTTTAACAACATCAAACTTTGTTTTTTTTCCCCAGAACTGAGCACACTGATGCCATGAATTTAAGATTAAATATTTTTACAATTTCTTGAAAAAGGTACACTGTGCAACTTTTCAGGAGATGCCATTACCTGGAATACCCCAAAAATTGTATTAAAATTTATTTCCAAAAACAGTTGATGTCATTACAAGTCAGATCTATGGAAAGGTGACCCCGCTCATAGTAAGAATGCTTTTCATGGTACTTTTGAGCAATGTAAATACTTGTAGTTATGTAGTAATTAAGAATTAAAAAAAAAAAGAAAATGCCTTTAAAATTATGCTTTGAGACTGTAATAAATAGTAAAAGATAATGAAAGAAAATGATGGTGAAAATAATATTAGTTTAAGTATCGTGACTAAAAATGTGTACTTTTGTTTTATTTAACTAAATTTGTGTTGGTGTGTGTTTGTTTGTTGTTTTGTATTTATTGTGGGTGTTGCTTTATGTTTTTGTTTAGTTTTTATGTTGATTATTGTATTTTGTTAAATGTTATATCCTTAAAAAAAAAATAATAATAATAATAATAATTGTAATTATGACAATACAGAGTTTAATGCCATACTGTGAAACGTTCCAGACAAAGCAACATGTCCATTTTAAGACGTTACCCAACTCTCTTACAGAAAAGCTACACAGTGCATCTTTAAAATGTTCAAATTGTCAAGCATATTTTGGTTTCCCCCGGCAACTGTCAATCAATTTATAATATACACGTTAAACAAATGTATGGACAACAGTGCATTTTACCACGTTACATTTTGATTTCAGGTTTTAAGTGCAAATATAAGATTCAGTCACAATAAATACCAGCAAGACTCACAATTGTAGTGATTGGAGGTACTCGTTTTGTTCACTTAAATTCTTCTTTTCTTCATATTTGTATTTTCCAGTCCAACTTTCATGACCCCAAAAAAGTTTGTAAACAAAGTGAAATAAACATGCACAAAACGCAGATCGAAACATCAATAATTTAAAACGATATGTACAAAAACAAGAAGGCAAAATGTGAGGTTTAAGATGGTTAGTGCTAACATTTGAAAATACCTTTGATTTGAGAATTCAGTTACACTTAATTAGCCTTAATAAAGCATGAACTAAGACTTAACTCATAATGAAGAAATAGTTTATTAAGAACGGTTTCAGCCCAATGACTAATTCAAGGGGTTAAAACTTAGAACTATTAATAAAAAGGTTCTGTGTCTGATTCTTTTTACATGTATTTGAGCAAAATTTGTCTTGCGTTTTATTGTCCATTAATCAGGAAGTGTGCTATTAGTATGCTAGTTATCATTAGGTGTACTGTAATGGCAAAACTCCGCTCTGGTCTCTAAAAGTTGTAAAAAAAGAGATTATAAACTCATGGCGGTGAATAATTAGGATGCTTCAGATAAATGAGTTATAAATGACCATTGCAAATTCTTTTAAAGTACCGTATTTTCCGAACTATAAGTCGCACTTTTTTTCATGGTTTGGTGTGGTCCTGCGATTTATATTCTGGTGCAACTTATATATTAAAATTTTCACAGTGAAGCCTCAAGAGGGCGCTCTTGGCTTGTGTGTCAGTATCTGCTACTCCTATTACTCCTGTATCACTGTTATTTCGCACTCTACTCCGTATGTCTCCTGCAGAAAAAGCTGCTGTCCTGCTGCAAGTAGTGAAATATTCAGCCGAAAACTTTAATTAAGCAGCAGAAAGAAAGATTAGAGTGAGTGAAAAACTTGACTGACGGAAAGCGGGGATGGAGAACACAGCTTCATGGCAACCGGGAGGATGTACCATGCAAGTTTCCTGGAAGTCATTGGATGGATCGACAAAGCCTGAACTTCAGTGACAATCGAAACCATCCTGTCAGGATTCAGAAAGCCCAGAATAATTCTAACTGGATCTGATGCTGAGTCTGACGACAGCTACACAGAAAAGGAAGCGGCGCTCTGTTTACCTCCGGAGGTCGCGAAGTTGCTCAGAAGTGACACCAAGGATAAAGAATTCAATGGATTTAGTGATTTAGAGTGACATGAAGAGTTTGGTAAAACTTGTTCTGTTGTTTATGTTATAACTGTTCAGATGTGAAGTTAACAGCCTTTTGTTCTCTGCTCTATTGTTATTACTATAACTTGAAATGTCAGGTCCTGGTCTCTGATTTATAAAATAAATTTCCCCCCAGAAATGTGACTTATACATGTTTTTTTCTTCTTCATTATGCATTTTTTGGCTGGTGCGACTTATACTCCGGAGCGACTTATAGTCTGAAAAATACGGTGACTAGTTCTGCTTTTTTTAAAAGTTTTTTTAAGTTAAAATCAGGTTCAGGGTCTTTAAGTTGTAACTAACCTTGCATCATTCTTAATAAACTATTTGATGATTATTATATAAGTGTTTTCATACTTAATTAAGTCTAACTAAAGTATAGTCATTACAAAACTCTTCAGTCTCCTTTCTCTACGTTTAATGATTGGTTAGCCGCAGCTTTTCTCATGCTATAGGTGAAATTTACAATCTTTCTGAACTAATCTGATATTAACCCAGCCTACATTGTAACTGCTAGATAACTCCAGATATACATTTTTAGATCTACAGTGTATGAGGTGCACACATTCACTTTCTATGGAGCAGCATGCTAATAAATGTGTACAAGCCGTTTGTACAGCAAGAATAGCAGCGATCTCAAATGTCTGAAATGACGATGCTTAACGTGGTTTTAAAAATATGCTCTAAGTGATTCTGACATCTATAGGAGTTGTTGAATGACGCATCAAAGTCCCGCCCCCCCAAATCGATCTAACCAATCAGGGAGTTACGTCGGGTCAGGTCCACGTTGCTGGCACTCAACACCTTGGATTCAGACAGTGCGGCGTTGTCATCCTAAAAAAAGAAAAAAAAATGTGTTTGAAAATTCCTAAATTGTTTTAAATTGACAGAACAATGTGTGTAGTCTATTACCTGTGCAGTCTCCTCTGTGCTCTTGTTGAGAAAGTTGAGGGAGCTGGCCCTTTTCATTCTGAAGAAAAATTTTTTACATTTACATGGGCAGAACTAAAAGTAATAATTGTATTGTAAGTAGACATCCTTGCTAATTTGCTATGGAAAAAAAGCTTGGTTTAATTAATACTATCATATAAGACACCCCATTTATACCTATATACCAATATACCAGTGTTTCCCTCAGTACTTTATAGTTAGGGCGGCCACCTTGACAACGTTCCTCCAAACCAAGTAAAACCTCGCAAAACCCACCACTCCTCACTTTTTCTCTGGGAAACTCCATAATTTTCTGTGGGAAACACACATACAGTGTACATGCGTACACTGATGTATGAATGAGTGACTGCTTCATGTAAAGTGCTTTGAGTGCCCAGTAGACGGACAAAAGCAGAATATGTTTGTAACCAGTAATTATTTCATGAATATGTGGGAAATACAGGCACAAAACAGCAGTGCTAATTTATATTATGGGTGTTTTTAGTTCAGCAGCAGGATTACATTGCATAACTCTGCTGGTGTTTCTAAATAGTGAGTAGAAACGTTTATGGATCACGAAATGCAAGTCTAATTTTAGAGCTACATGCCACACACATTTTCTAATGATACAAAAATGCGATTATGAGACTGTATAATCACAAAAGAAGACTGAAGTTTGCCCGTTTTTTTAAATGTCCTATTTTACAGAAAATGCATTCTTGGGAGTATTAAGCCATGCTATAATATTATTACCTCATCAAAAACATTCATTGAGTTGTGTTTTGTTTCATTCACAAGTGTTTAAGTAATCCTTTATTATTAGTCTACAACTCCAAAGCTCAAAATAATTTGTTCCACCTTGTGATGTCATGTAGTAGTTTTTAAGTCAACAGCTGCTGCCTTATACCTAATTCTATAGAGATTAAACATGTGAGAATGAAACAAAACAAAACTCTTGGTATGTTTTTGATGAGGAAACATTATAACATAAATCAGAAAACAGATCCAACAACTGAACTGTCCCCTGTGTAAATCAGTGTAGCTGAATAGGACACAGTGTATTTTCTAACACAGTTCGGTCTCATGGTGTCAGTTACCCGGGGTTACGGGGCTCCTGGGGTCCACTCCCCTGCAGCTTCTTCACCAACATTTCACTGCTCCTCCTCAGAGCATCACGGATCTTTCCAAAGGAGCCGGAGCGACGCAGGGACCCATTACCGTCCTGAAATACAGTCAAACCCATGAGCTACACCACGAAAATGTATTTGTATTAGCGCAATGAGTGCCACACCTATTAATGTTTTTATGTATTCGCCTGCAGAGATATTTATGATTTGTGTTTAATTATTGTGCTTTTTAGGGGGATGAACTGGTATGGGTTTCCTTTAATCTGCTAACACTCTTCAGTGCAAAATAAAACCAAAGTTACATTATCATAAGATCTAAATCACTGCTTTTCTAAGTGTCCTCACCAAGAACCAACTAACTAACTAATTTTATCTAAACCCAAACTTCACCAATTCCCATGTCTTCATTTAAATATCCAACATGTAGAGTATTGTATTTGCACACCGCACTGACCCCGGTCCACTCAGCAGAGTCGTCCCCCTCTCCCTGCTGTGGTCCATTCTCTCTTTGTCTCCGCTCTCCTCCGTCCTTCAGGATCTCCACCACTTTGCTCTGGTTAAACGCATCAATCCCCTTTGGACACAAGCACAAAAACAATGAGGAAATATATGACCCCTTCCAACAACAACTCAGCAGGTAAGCAACTGTTTCTACAGCTACAGTCGCAACAAAATTAAACCCATAAGTCCTAGTACTACATGCTGGCAGCCATATCTGTTCAGAAGTTGCTTTTATTTGATTTTTTATTTATTTGCGTTATAGTTAGGGTATTAATTAAGCAGTTACAAAAGTGTGAATCATTCTCCATAAACTATTGGTTGATTATGAATAAAGTCTTTGTTCATGCTTAAATGTGCACTGCGTAACTTTTCTAGTGGGGGATGCATTTCCTGCTTATCTCCATGGAGATTTTATTGCTTTGGCTAAAATGTTCTAACTCGATTCATCACAGCATTAGAATTTGTTCGCTCGATTGTAGGCGGGTACTTTTTTATTTAACCAATCACTGCTATTTGGTCGTGATGTATGTAATGCCCCAAATCCCGTAGGAAGAAGGGCAATAACGTCTTTCCCCTTGATAAAATTCACCAAACATTCTCTTTGTTCTGACTTTAAATCCTCGATCTCGGGAATCATTGCCAACACAGAATGTCTGGCTTCATCTGCATCCATCTCGACCGCTTTGTTTACTGTTGTGCTGTACCACAAAAGGGACCCAGACAGGCGCTTGAGTTTGACGTCATGGCTTCACAGCTCTTCGCTGATTGGCTGGTGCGCGGTCTACAACTTGCAAACTGTCTAGTGTATTCTGATTCCTGACCTAGACTAAAAAGTAATTAAGGTATGGTTATTATATATATCTATATTATTATGAAACACCAGTGCATGTTTGTCTCGAAGTCATGGAAAGTCGCTCTTTTAAATTGTGTTTGTAAATCACATTTTAATGTCAACTTCATGTGGCTTTTGAATAAAAAAAACAGCAGGAAACCAAAGCCAATTTCACTGGCTCTGCCCATAAGAGTTCCATGGAGCCCTGTACCTGTTTTCGGGACTTGCTGGCACACTCCTCAAGAGTCTCTGCTGCCTCCAGCTTCCCCTGGCGACGGTACAGCGCCCCCAGGCTTTTGAGTGTAGTGTTCACTGTAGGGCTGCAAACAAAAGGTGAAGAGTCAGATGAACTGGTTTTAGTAATAGACACCAAGATAAAATATTCATTTTCCTTTCATCATTCATCACTTCACTCCAAAAACCACAGATTGGTACCATTATGGTAATGTTTTTGTGCATGAATATATAATAAATTAACATTTCATAATGCATATGCCTTTATTTTGAGGGTTTTGAAGGTGCTATATCTTAAAAATGTCAAAAACAGAACTAGCTCATTTTTAGTTACTCCTCACTTTCTTTATGCATTCTGTGCATTATGAATGGTTCACTGTGAGGAGTTTATAAGCACTTTTCACAACAAAAGAGACCAGAGCGGAGGTTTACAGTGATGGTAATGCCAACAACAACTAGCATGCCAACTTCCATTAAAACAAACATGTCAAACTCAGACCCGGGGGCCAAATAAATTAACATCACATATCTCGAAAGAAGAGAAAACATACAGATGTTGTTGACATTTTTCAAAATATATTTAGTTTGGCCCAGTTTTTAATTCTGGCCCTCTGTGAATTTGAGTTTGACACCCCTGCATTAAAACATTTTATAATTAGATGTAGAGAGCATGTAGCTTATACAATACATCTGCACTGGGACAAGACAGATTTTGCTCAAAATCAGGTTCAAGTTAAGTCCTACTATTGTATTTCTGTATACAAAATTAATTAGTGCAGTGTATTTCTGACATATTTAGTACTTCTGACTTTATTTATGATATTAATTGTAATACACACTCTACCTGTCCACTTTGCAGGCTTTATACCAGCTCCCATACTCAACATACGGTCCACAGTCCTTACGCTTCCCCTGAAAAACAGCCAATGCACAGAGGATGAGAACAATCAAAATATATTACCTTTTCCTGAAGTCTAGTTGTAAAAGTTGATACTAGACTTTATCAACAGTACCCATGGCCAGTGAAAGAACACCGTCTAACCTTGCTCTCCTCGCGTTCCTCTGCATGCATCCAGATTGGCTTGTTATCATCTGCAAAGAGACAAAGCACATATTATAATCCATATAATACACCCATTGTTTTTGACCCACATTACAATTTCATCACCCTGCTAACTTTATTCTGAAATATTTATTGCATGACTTATTGTGAAAATATCCCAATTCCTGCTGGGGCCCCTCTCGCTGGTCATAAGAGCAGAGTTTTGGTTGGCTTACAGTGGAGGGCAATAAGCTTTAGGGTAATCCACTGTCCCACGATGGCAACACGACAGAGGAAGAGGAGAGGTGGGGAGAGGGGTGGGGCCAAATCAAAACTGGATCTGACTACAGACACAACAAAGGAAGAGGCTCATGCTGTGCTTACAGTGGTAGAGTTGATTTAGGGATTTGGAAGGCAAAGCTGACCGACGATTTAAAATAGGGAAAAACAGCTGTACTATGCAAATAAATGGGGTCATGATCTCATATAACCTTTAAGGATTTAATAATTTCATAATAAGTAATGTAGTTGGTTTGGTTTGATGGTTTGATGGCCTTTTGAATGAGTGTTTGTAGGTATAAATACAAAGAATACATTTCATTCATACAAAAATCTGTAGCAACTAGAGATGTAACAATATCCAAATCTCATGGCACCACATTATCAAGATATGCTTCTCACGGTACGATATTTATTGCAATATTTTGTAGAGGCTAATATAATTGTAGATAGGATGCTTTTTTGCTTTTAAAATATCCTGACAAGATTTTGGTGTGAATTATTACAGTCATAATCCAAGAATTAAAGTAAAAAACATATTTCTTCATGTTGTCTGCACTGAAATGAATCATGGGATATGTAGTTCCCGATGTTTATAAGCTGTTGCTACTATAAAACCATACATTTAAGCAAAGGAACTTTGATTCGATATATTGTGACAGTCCGGTATTATTGTGAGACTTTTGATGATACAATATCATGATATTTGGGTTCTTGTTACATCCCTACTAGCAACATTAACATTTCATAAAGTATTAAGTGTTTGGATGAAAGGCAAGTATAGTAAGTCAGATTTGTAGAGAGATGACTCTGCTTAATAAAAATGCCTTTTTTCAAATTGAATAAATGCAAGATGGATAAGTTTAAAGCCATAATCTGAAGCAGTAAGTCTTTATGTACACGACAGATCCCACCAGAAAAATTACATAGTGCACCTTTAGGCAAATGTTACAGTAATTCAATTTCTGTGCTGTACTGACAACATTGACTGCCTGCTCAGTCCTTCAGAGGTATAATACTCCCTATAACAGAAGCATACCCAGACTGGACTGCACTAGACTGAAATGGACAAAACAATCACAATGGCTTAAGGGATCATGTCTCTGGGTGCTGGGTCCTGTACTGATGGTAAATTATCATCATCTCTTCAGCTACTACAGTTAATTCTACAACAGTAAATACATAAACTTCTTTGTGTTAAATCAATACACATTTAAGAAATTGTGTTAACCAGATTATATAGATATGGAGGTAAAAAATAAATCAATAAAATGCTTCGCAGTTTGTCACAAAATAATGTAAGCACACTTGAAGTTGAGTCCATAACACACACATAAGCAGTGGGGTTTATAATTGTGTTTGTGAACATTAGATTTGGTCACATGGTTGTACTCACTGTTCACAGACCCAAACTCCTTCTCATGTGCTCGTGTCAGGATCTCTTTGTACAGCGCCTCTGCGTCTTTGAACTTCCCCTGCTTCAAGTAACACGTGGCCTGAGGAGACACAATCAATTAGGCTCATACAGGACAGAAATATCCACAGACCCGACTAATGAAGTTACAGAGCAAATTCATTACCTACAGTGTTATTACTTTTACCACTGGTAAAAAATTTTTAACATACAGTTTCGATTTATTTCTATACTTTTTCTTTATTTTTGTACTATAAAAAGTTGATGGCATTTTGTCCATTGTTTGTTTCATTTTAATGTCTATTTATTGTAAAAATAAATAAATAAATAAATAAATAGTACCATAGTGTTATAATACTATAGTCAAAATTGGACAGCAGGACTGGTGACTGAAAATGTTCGTTCAATTAACATTTTAGGTTCGTCACTCAATGTGTAAAATGCTAGTTAGTTGAAAAGAAAGAGTAAAGTGTTAAATAAAGAATGAATATATTAAAAAACACGTGCCATCCGGTTTTAAAACTTGAGCAAAACGACCATCTGCCTCCTCATCCTCTCCACATCCTGTCCTAACATCCACATGACTCAAGGATCAAAATCAGGGACTGGCTCTTTAAGACCTTTCTGGTTGGGTGAAAAACATGTGACTGACATAAGTGTAGTACAAACCAGGTTGTTCTTGGTCTTGGCCACATTGGGGTCGTCTGCTCCCAGTTTAGACTCGTAGATCTCCAGAGCTCTTCTGTAGTAATACTCTACCTCGTCATATTTGCCCTGGTTCTGACACAGCAGGGCCAGGTTGTTCAGCTGCTTAGCCACGTCTGGGTGGTACTTCCCCAAAACCTGAGCAACACAAGGGGGACATCAATCACAAATTACTTTTATAAGGAGTAGAGAGGTGAAGTGTACTGCCTAAGGATACAAAAACTGTTTCCAATGGAGCCAGTGCTGCCAGAGATCAGACACTGACAAGCTGATGGGGCCATTGAAGATACCGGTAACAGTAAAAGTTGCCCTCTCACCTTCTCCCTGATCTCTAGCGCCCTCTTGCACAGTGGCTCCGCTTCTTTGTATTTGCCCCTCTTCCCGTACAGCACAGCCAGGTTATTGAGCGTGGCAGCCACAGCCGGGTGGTCCTTCCCCAGGGTCTTCTCTCTGATGGCCAACGCGTCATTCAGGAGGTGGGCCGCTTCTTTGTACTTGTTCTGGTCCCTGTGAAACCAACACAAATAAATAGAGCAATCAGGTATAACATTATGAAAAATAACAGGACACAAATCATCTGTTCCTCAAGGCACCTGAGGAAGAAAAGCAAGTGTACAGATTTGAATGGAGAAGAGAAAGGGAAAATGATGATGACAAGACTACTGGGACAAAAACCTCGAAGATTGCAGCTCTTTTGTTGTATTCTCCATCTATTTGTCAAAAGTGGTTCAAGGAAAAAATTACCAAAAAACGGTGAGCCAATTACACGTAATGCACAAAATATGAAGAAATGTCTGTATGATGCATTTGAAAATGAACAATAGCTCCAACAGCTGTGCAATGGTCTATAAAGAGCGGCTCTGAATGAACTACTGTTGCACCCTTGGGTGAGTGAGTGATTATAGCAACATTAGCTTTTGTTTTTCTGAAATAATCATTACTTGAAGGCCTACTTTGCCAGATAGCATTAGCTCCATTAGCCTGCTGTACTCCTGACCTGTAGACCAGAGCGAGGATGTTGAGCATGGTGGCCACATCGGGGTGGTCGTGTCCAGACGTCTTCTCCAGATCCTCCAGGGCCTGTTTACAGAGGGGCACTGCCACCTCGTAGCGGCCCTGTGATGCGTACTGGATAACCAGGTTGTGGAGGGTCCTGAGGCGGGCTGGGATCTCATAGCCTCCCTGCTGAGCGGCCACTTCTCCACTCGGCTGGGCTGTGGGCAAGAGGAAAGAGAGTAATGTTTAAAGGGACAGTTCGGAATTTTGGACATTTCCTAGTGAGTCAGAGTGTTGGAGACGTGGAGACACTTTTTAAAAATTCCATACAGTCCTTGTATTTGCAGAGGTTGTTGGTGCTAGACTAGTGCATGTCAATGGCCAAGTTACCCACTCCACAAAACACCCGAAGCAAATCTATTATAACGCCAGACTGTCGATGTAAATGTCTGTGTTGATAGAATAATTTTAGAAGTAAAATCAACCTTGCATCTCATGAATCGTCGCGTGTTGAGGGACTATTTTCTCATATCAGTCCGCCGCTGCCGAAGCTTTCAATCAGGAAGTACAACTCGCTGCTGCTGCTGCTCAGACATAAATCCTTCAAATGCAAGGTTGGTTTTACTTCTAAAATTATTCTGTCAACACAGACATTTACATCGACAGTCTGATGGAATAATAGATTTGCTTTGGGGGTTTTGTGGAGTGGGTAAGACTGTTTTTAGTGGCAGGATAACTATGACCATTGACATGCACTAGTCTAGCACCAGCGACCTCTGCAAATACAAGGACTGGATGGAATATTTTAAAAAGTGTCTTCACACATCTCCAACACCCTGGCTCATTAGGAAATGACTCCCTATGTCCAAAACTCTGAACCATCCCTTTAAACTAAGCAAATAAACTCTGAATTAGTGTTGCCATAATACTAAAATGTGAAACTGTTAAAGACTTGATCCTCATTACTGATTTCGATAGCGAATAATAGTTGTTTCTTCAAAGGTGTCTATGTAACTTTCTCGTGGAGCACATAGCACCTACTTATAGATAGAAAGTTTATTGTTTTGCCTGGAATGTTCTGCAGTAAGGCATTAAACTTAAATCTTGTATTTATTTATAGTTTCATAGCTCAACCTCTTGCTAAGCCTCTTGACAAATTTGCAACTCAATGATTCTTCTCATGGTCACATGTACAGAAATGAACACTAAACAATATTTAAACCAAAGCAACAAGTTCAGGAGAAAACAGTAAATGTGAGCACTGTCCTCGGTCCAAACTCCTCTGGGGTCTATTCTGAGCACATGACCCGCTGCACTACAACTTGTGACACTTCAATATGGGAGACTTTTTAAATCTTAAATCTTGTGTGTTTATATGCACATTAATGAGAGACCAGCAATTCTCTGTCTTTTTTTCTCTGGTAGTGCTCTGAAACCGAATTATTTTGTACAATGTAAAAAAAAAAAAGTCTGCTAAATCACAGGACAAACCATAAAATTTAGAACAGGGTATCCCCAGGGTTGACTACCCCAAATTTAAGACTTTTTTTAAGACCACTTAAATAAAAATTGAGACCAACATCACACCTATTATGCAGGTGAAAAACACCAGATCCAATTCTAATAATGACCATTACTCACTGCTTTAAATAACAAAATATACTTTTATTATAAAATCTCATTCAGAACTCATTTATAGTAGTATGCATTGCTTGTAAAATGGCCAAAAAATCATGTATAACATTCTAACAAGACAAACTTAGTATTGTTTGCGCATCCTCCAAATTAGATGTTCATTCAGGTTACATGATTTCATGTTTTTTTTTTCCTCCCTCCATTTAACATTGCACTACAGCCCGGTTGAGTAGACAAAAAATAGGCTAATGAAATTTAAGACCTTTGTGAAAAAAATAAGCCAATATCATTTAAGACTTTTAAGGGTGAAATTTAAGAACATGAAATTTAAGACCTTTTTAAGACTTTCAAGCCCCCACGGCTGCTCTGTAGAAACACTAGAGCTGCAATGACCAATAGAAGCCTGTGTACCTTATATGTCAGAAATATACAGAAATATTTATTTGTCATGTTCATTGAATTTGTGTTGCTTTATGGTTTTGGGTCACCAAAAATATTGATCAGCACAAAGTATAGTATTTATGATCAAATGAGCTTAAAAGCAAAACTATAATGCCAACCATAGCGTTACCCAAGAGTATGTGCCTCCTATAGAAACAAAAAGATGAAAAGCTGACTTCAAAGAGATGTGCGGTACATGTCTTCATCAATAATTCAACCCCCTCAGGCTCTGCACTTTCTGGTTTTACTAATGGCATTGGGTGTAGGTGTAGGAGTTATACATTCAAATGTGCAGATATGTTAAGTTAGTTACCCACTTATATCTTTTTAATCCTAATGAGAGTACTGAAGAACCATTACTGCAATCCATCAAGAAATGTGCTACAACTTGGTACATGTCTTCCTGGTGGTTAAAGTATTGCACAAAAATAGATAAAATTAACTACAAAAGTGCAGATATCTCACTTTATAAACACAGCTTTTTGCAGACTTCTTTTTTCAAACTACTTCTCCAAAAACAACCATCATTTTTTTAACATCCCAGTCCCGTCTCTGAACATTACTGTGTTTTTGTGCCATTTGCTTATGAGAAAATCTATTAGCAAACCACAAATTTGCGTTGGAAAGAGAAAAGTGCAAACAGACTGCTCAGCTCTAACATTTGGTGTAAAAAGACCTTTGAGCTAAAGCGGAAAAATAAAGCTCTAAATAAAACTCAATGAACAGCTTGTGTTCCTGTGTAAACTCTCAGATTGAATGTGCCATAAACATTACGCTCACAGGAGGATGGGGCTGCTGGCTCTACTGCTGCTGCCTACACTTAACATGGGAACGCTTTATTTTTATATGATCACTTAAAAATACAGGAAATCTAGCATGTGGAAACTGTTTAAATAGTGTGATTGAAAATTGTAGGGCAATTCAAATCGCAGAGTCTGTAATTATATAACAAATACCTTTTCATCCCTGTAGTTCAGAGCTATTCTTTACATAAAAATGTATAAATCCTACATTCAGTTCTACTCAAATGCACCACAGGTTTCATCACCTTGTCATCTTTGTCTGTTAAAAGGTAAACCATGGAGTCTGTAGTGAATCCTAATAAAAAACATTGACTTTTGTTGGTTTGTTGTAGGTAAATACTTAATAGCACAAAAAAAAAAACATTTCCTTTCTCCTCTTTTGGCTTTTAACACAGTTTGAGGACTGATTTTTACTCCTAATTGCTGCACTTTGTAACACTTAAGTGGGGAGTTCGGCATCTGCTTTTCTTCATTGAGATGTTTATGTTTTGTCTGGAATGTTCCGCAGTATGACTTAAAAATGGACTAAATTCTTACTGTGAACAAGGTCACCTGATTGCGTCACTGGCTCGTTTTCATGGAGATAAATAAGTTAAATGTCATATTGTGGAACATTATTGCCAAAGCAAAACAAAGACAAGCACCTGCAACCAGAAAAGTTTTTTGTACGGTTGTTTTTTGTTTTGTTTTTTTGGACTGGATTTTGTGTGTAGCTTTTTGGTCAATTGTCATTTTAAAAGTGTTCTATAAAGTTATCTCTATAAATAAATTTAACATTGTCAAAGTATCAAAACTCAAGATACTAATCAATACTAGCCACTCATCTGAGCAGGTATCAATACTAAAAAGGTCACATTCACAGAACAAAAATGAACCTTTCCTGAATAGCTTAAAGGTCGTCACACACTACAGGAGAATTTGCACGATTTTGGCTGCGTGTGTGGTGTCAGTGTGACTCTGAGCTGCACTGTCAGATCAAAACCACCAAACATCAGGAATACTACAGTAACAGCCAATAAAACAGAGCGTCAGGGGACACCACACACAGCATCTCATCCGCATTATCCATAGAAATTGTCCTCCGTAAATAATGACAAGTAAAAAGGTGAGAGTAGTTCCTCACGTGTGTCTGTTTACATCCACACAATGCACGGATCGAGGTAAAGTTGCAGACTAGTGATAGTGACTCGCCAATCTTTTATGCTTTATTATGTATCTGAAGTATTTTACCACATTTTACAATTTCAGCTTGTAGAAGTGCAGTACTCTGATCTTTCAAACACTTAAAGAGTCTCAAAGTGAGTGGTTTTATTGTAGACAGGAAACAGCTGAGGCGATGGCACTCACAGCTTTATGGCCTGTGGTCTGCAGTTATATCCCGCTGCAGTCTTTTGCCATTGGTAATTTTAAGTCTCATAAGATTCTCCTCATGTCTGTGTTGTGCTCTTTTTGCCACATGTTTAACAATCTTTTAAGACTGAAAAATTCTGTAGTGTGTGGGGGTCTTTAGAATGATTTTGAGTTGTATCAGAACAAGTATAAGACCACATAGACTAGTATATACCCATGGATCACTAACCACCTACATGAATGATTGAAGTTAGAAGTACAATAATCACAATCTATTGTCTCATCATTGTGGAACTGGTATCGAGTATCAAGAATTGAGAAATTTTAGTGCCATGACAACACGGATAAGATTGGATATTCTTGCTTCAGTCTTACCCGGTCCCTGGTCATCGTCGTTGGGGAACAGATCATCCAAACTGTCCTTGGGCCCGTCTCCTCCGCTCCCTCTGTTCTTGGGCGAGGGCGACGCGTCATCATCGAACTTCTTGATTTGGTTCATGAACTCGAGGTGCTGCTCTGCTCGCTAGTTTGTGTTGCTGGCCAGTTCGTCCCTCAGCCACTGGTTCTCCTGACAGAGCCTCCGCACCTGAGCACGCAGCTTCTGCTTCTCCGACTCCACTGCGCTGAGGTGACTGGACAGGGCAATGATCACCTAGAGCAGAGGACAGTTTAAGGAAAGCATTTTGATTTACTTTTTAAGATTTCTATCACGTAGATAAAGGTTGAGAAGACACGTTTAATGAATTGTCAGAGTTGAAAATCGATTTTTCATTTCATTTCAAGCACAAATCTTAAATTGGTTGCTGTGACTATAGATACAGTCGGCATTCGGTCTCTGCGGGAACATCCACTAACACAAGGGGCGAACTCCCCCATGGGAGTAAACAAACCATTAATTTTAATGGAAAAACTACCGCTGCCTGCTGTATTTTAACATCAGCAGAACAATCTTTACTTTTCAGAAGTAACACTGTCTGCACAAGGTCCACTGAACCTCAATTGTGACTCAATTAAATAAATAAGTTCTTAAAATACATATAATCCCATAGGAAAAATCAAAAAAGAGTAAATGTTTTCTCCATGCCATGAAAACATAAGAATTTAATAATATTTAAGACTAGTAGTGAATTTAGCTATGTTCATATCCCTAATTCATAAAATTTGAATTTGAATTACTGAAGAAACTTGTATTAAAGCTTAGTATTAGTAAAACCACATGGACTGATTGCCTAAATTGCAATTAAACCTAGTAAATACGGGGAAATATATTAGTTATAGTATCCTTTCTTTAATTTATTGTGTTCACCTGTGCCTCCCCCAGACCGAGCTCGATGGCCTCCAGGCTCTTCCTCAGAGCTCCAGACTTCTCCTGGGCCGTGGGGGGCTGAGCACAGTCCAGCAGAGAGTTGAGGAGCTGGGCATGTTCCCCTGAGCGTCTCCAGTTCAGGACGATCTCATCCTGACTCAGCCGCTCCAGGGACTCCTCACGCGGGTACACCATGGTGGACATTGCCTCCTTTTATACACACTACAGGGACAAACAAGGACAAAGTTAGATGATAACCTTTATGTTACAATTCATGCATTTTAAGCTTTTTGTATGTTGTTGTAGTAACTTTGTATTGATCTGTATTGTATGGAAAGTTACCATCCGGGGAGTTCCCTGTTTGGTGTGAAGTGCTATCACATATTTGTTAGATAAATACATAATTTACAAAATATGTGTTTGCATCATGGTAAGCTGCTACACAAAAAATGTCTACAAAAATTGTTAACACTTTAGCATTCATTATTATGTGCTTTGAAACACTGTAATTTTTCCTGAATGAATACATCATCTTTCAGTCTAAAAAAGGACATAAATAAGGACACAAAGGCTATTTTATGACAGCATAAACTCCTGTCCTGTATGAGTCCTGCTTAGATCACTCCTGGAGGATTCAGCAGCTTACATCTCGAGTCTGTGAGGAAACCTAAGCCAATTAAAACAACACTCGTAACATTTACTTGGGGGCAGAGATATAAGATAAGACCTATGGAATTAAGTAATCAATAGTTTGTTTAGTTAGTAATTGCTTGAAATGTGCAATGAATGGTAAATATAGAAATATAGAAATGATAAAAATGCAAGTCATATCAGCTACGTAGCAGTCTTAGAAGATTTTTATGTCAAGGTTATTTTATTATTGTGTCAGAAATATTAGATCAAGGTCAGACGGGCTATTTTAAATATGCAACAACATTTTGAGGACTTTTCCCACACCATTCACACTATATAATATTTGGGTTTAAACTGTTCATTGATATGGCTACAGTCCTATTTACTCATCACGTTTCAGCTTTTTACATGATACATTTTCAAACACTTGTCATGTGGATAGGCTGTGTTATATAGGTTAAACATCAGACCTTGTTTTATTTCCTCAACAACTTCTCAGGTATTGTAAAAGTTTGATTCTTTCTTTTTCATTCTTTTTAGACCAATACTGTTCTGCTTTCCTGTGTGGAAATTTTAGGCGCCTTAAGTACACAAAAACAGCGCTTTCATCCAATCACAGCCTCCCAAACCTATAATAGAAGGCGGACACGATGACTGTCCTCTGACATTGAGGGATATCAGATTAAGCCATTTGTCCTGAAGGGTGACAGCGCGGATGTAAATTAATCCCTCTTCCACAGCAGCAGAGGCCAGAAAGGACACAAAGCGAAATTGTGCCAAATAATGGTCACTTATCCGTTTTCCCGTTAGCTACATGAACGATTACGCACCTGTCTTTCCCGTCTCCAAGTCCGCCATCCTCCCAGTATCTCCCCACCCATCCGCTACCTCAACACTCACTGCAATGCACCACTATCCACGCTTCCTCCATCCTCTTTTCGCCTTCAAAACAACCCAAACACGCAATTTGTAAGAATGCGTTGCGTGCGTAAATGTCCAGACAAGCGATACGAGATAATCTGAGTTATTTGACGCCATTATAACGAATAACAAAAGCCGGTGAAATAGCCGAGGCCTGTTGTTGCTACTGGTGTTGTGAAAGAGGGATATTTGCTGGCTTGGCATCCAATCAATGAAGGTGACCGACAGCTAGCATTACGCACGAAACCAAACCAAAACGTGTCCAAAACGCACCAAAAATGTGGATTCTATTGATACGCATACATCGTCACGGGAACACAAGAAATAAAACGTAAATAAAATAGGCCACGATTTGAAGAGTGTCATCTAAACACACAAAGTAGCTTGCTGTATCAAAGAAAATATGATAGACAGCGTGCATTTAGCAAAGCTTGATTATAACGCGAATAATACAATGGTTTCATAAGCACAACCTGTAACCACAGAGGAGGAGGTGACACATTTATAGACCTCGCCGCGACTGCATCGTCCACAAAACAGGCAAATTACACTCAAACGTGACACAATTGCGTCCAAATATGATCTAAATATGTAGATACACGGTAACGGGGTGCAATAAGTCGGATTCTTACCTTCATTGAAAACTAGTGCAGTGTTTTCTGCCCCTCCAACAAAGCGGTGGGACAGTGTTGTGATGCTCCAGACAACCTTTGTGAAGATGGATTATTGAAAAGGCGAAACTACTTCCGGTTTTCAAAATAAACTCACATCTGTACCGGAAATGTCACCCTACCACAGAAAACACACATTTATAAAATAGATACGTGCATGAATAGAATTTTAACAATTATCCAGTCTTTACATTTACTTAATAGCTGAAGGTGCACTTTAACTTCTCTAACCCTGACTGTGTATTGTTCCGTACTATGGCATTAACTGATCTGTTTCCACAAAGCAGGTCACCCGGCCAAGTCACAGGTTAGACTGATGGAGGAGTGACCCCACTTACTGTAAGAATGCATGTTTTTCAAAGTATTGTTCATCATTAAACATGAAAGCAAGATGAACAAGATGGATCCATTGAATGCCAAACTGTGGATGATTCCAGGCAATGAAAACAATAATATCTGAATTGAGACACACAGTGGCGGGGCATACACAAGGAAAGTTCCGAACTGAACCTTTAACTTATATGCACTGCTCCAACCCAGACCTGTTTTATCTGCATGAGTACCTATGCACAGGGCTTTCTTAATAAATTATAATACACCTCCTGAAATTGTGTTTTAATGTGTTTTTAGTGGTCCTACAAGCTTTATGCATAGAATTATTAAATAGACTGGGCATGGTTAGTACTTGGATGGGAGACTGCTGAGAAAATCAGGAGCCACAGGGGGGCGCCAGTGGTAAAAACTCTCATTGTGTCCTTAGGCAAGGCACTTCACCCACATGGCCTAGTATGAAAGTGGTGTGTGAGTGTTGGTGCTGGTTGGAGGAACCAATGATGCAGACTGGCAGCCTCCTTCCATCAGGGCAGCTGTTGCTACAATAGGTTACCGCTACTGAGAGAGGAGTGAATCTATAATGTTCTGTAAAGCATCTTTGAGTGTCCAGAAAAGCACTGTATAAAACTGATGCACTATTATTATTATACATTATTAGCATGGCAATAGAGAATGGTGGTAAACCTTTTCTGAAATGTAGATCTAAATCTGGTGTCCGGTCTACTGAGAAAGTACAAAGACACGTTATTACAAATCAATAACATTTTTATTAAAAAAACAAAGAAATGAAACAATGAACACTTCCACTTTTCATCCCACATCAGTTTGATTGACAAACGTAATCATGAAAAAGCAGAACTACAAAACATATCCAATGTAGACAACAAAAAATACAATTTAACAAGTACTATCTGATATGTACAAGCATTAAGTTTAATATTATTGTCATCATTATTATTACTGTTATAGGCAAAAGGCAAAAAAGCTGAAGAAACAATGGCGTGTGCAAAAATACTTAAGACTCTTTCAGTGAAACCATTTCCGGGGCGAATATACAAAGCTGTAAGTTCATCGAGTTTTAAATTATTCATTATGTTTTTAAAATCAGACAAGCACTTTTCTGCAGAGAGAAGACACTGCTGACCACAGACAAAACAGTATTGATGAACCAAACAGTTTCTAATCTCTATCCATCATCTGAGTTTGGACATAGGGATAGAGCAACATTAAAATCACAGGCTTACAGACAGGTACAGTACAAATCCACATCCAAAGACCAGAGGACATGTAAACAATGGAAATCAAACAGTTTAAGGTAGAACATTCTTGAAATGACAGGACAAGGCTCACTTATTTCAGCACCTAAAATGCCAAACAAAATACATCAAATATTCATTTTTCTTTAGTCATTTGGACATTATTTTTGTTGGCAGTAGTTTCAACTGAAGGTAAGGCGTCAAAAACACTAGTAAGTTTACCTCACTGCCATAAATGCACTATAAATGACAAACATTACAAGGCAATACAAATGTTAAGGTTTATTCTTTTTTAATTCAAATTTTCTTTTTGATGCAATAGTAAAAAGTGCTAATAATTACTAATTTTTGATTGCCATGTTTTGCATTTTGGTTTAACAACAATATTTATGATACATTACATTTTAGGGTCAAAATTTTTTTTTCCCCCCAACAATAAATTACAATATTTTCAACAATATAACAATCACTTTCATTTCGACTTCTCAATTTTCTTTTCACCAAATTACAAATTAAGTATATATTGCAGTGTATTTTTTGTTATCTGGGCTACAGTGGTATCTTATGGTGAGATCTGGAATGAAAAATGGTATAAAAACAGATAAATTACTTTTGATCCTCCCAGTTTGAACTAAAAAATGTAACATAAGGAGATGTGTGCAGCCACCACAACACTGTTTAAGTCTATCTCAAATAATCTTAGCAAGAATTCAAGACAACACTATTAAGAAAACTAGTTTTGCTAATACAATACTGGAGAGCGTTACAGTGCAGAGGACAAGGCTTGAATCATGATGGTAAGATACATTCAGTTTAGTTCATTTTAATTTTTTATAGTACGGTGCAAAAGTTTTAGATTTAGTTTTAAAAGGGCTGTCACCTGGTAGTACAACTTCTGAATTTTCATTTTATCATTTTGGATGACCATTACAATCACACATAACGTCAATGATAGGCCAAAAATAAAAGTGTGAATTCAGCTGTGATTTAAGTTCTGTTCAACCAAATATGCAAGCTAAATAATTCAAATAAAATGAGCAGATACAAGAAATGCGTCAATAGTCAATTTACCACTTAAAGGCCTGTACATGATTTTAAAAGCAAATATTTGTGAAAAAATAAAATAAGTTTTGTTGGATGAGAACCATAAGAAAGCAAGTGTCAAGGATGATCATATTTATCCAATCAGAAGTTGGTAGATGAACACCTTTTTAAAGAAAATGCTTCTTTGGTTCAGGATCTGAATGAGTCAAGGGACTTTCAAGGGACATTTATGGTTAAAAATTGGGCACTAGAGAAGTTTGAGTCTTGGTCTGGGTACTATTTCTTTATCACTGTGGAACAGGACCAGAGCCTTTGCTTGGTTTTACCATTACCAGTTTATTTTACATTTTGAGTAGGGGTGTAACACTATCCAAATCTCACGATACGATATCATCATGTTGTGAACCTCACGCTACGAAATTTAAAGTGATATCGTGGGAAAGCTCAGGATATGGTGGGGAGGCTCACAATTAGGGATGTAACAATATCCAAATCTCTCGGTACGATGTATTCACGACATACATCTCACGGTACCATAAAACAACAATTAATTGCGATATTTTGCTTTAAACTGTTATTTTTTCATGTAGTCTACACTGAAATGGAGCAAAGGATCATGGTCTATGTAGTTCCCTCTGTCTTTTCTGCTCACTGACTCTTAATTTAAGCAAAGAGACTTGTAATTCGATATATTTTGAAGGTCCCTGACATTATTGTGAGAACTTTGACAATACGATATCATGATATTTCGGTTCTTGTTACATCCCTAATTTTGAGCAATGTTTTTCCATACTGTCTTTCAAGTTTTGCCTTAAAAAATAAATATAAAACCTTTGCACCATTCATTTTGTTGGAGGTTTAGCCTTATGCCAAGCTGCACAGTAAACAACATTATTACTGCAGCGAGTGATACTGACCACATTTTTCAAGCACCACTGCATGCCCTCTTTCACATTATATTAAAAAAAGACAATTTCTCTTATATTTTGCTTTACATTTTTTGACCACGGTACATGAACGCACCACACACACATACACTTGTCACTGAACGTCTCACAACAGCCAGTAGAATAAGCAGTTTGGATCCGACTCCCAGAAAAATAGAGAAATCAAAACCATGTAATGTAAAGTAGCAGCTGCCGGTAAAAATATAGGGTATGATGGCAGCTGGAGAATGACTTTGTGCTTTATTGCGTATTTAAGAATCGGAACGTAAAAACATACATCTTTTAACTACAGTTTGAAAATGCACTACTTAGTTCCATTGTTATTATTACTTTGCATAATTGTGATAGGTCGGCCTGTTTTAAAAGAGGGGAAACCAGCCACAAATACACAGTATTGTAAGTGCATAGCAAATTATAGTGACATGATGAACCATAACATTATGACCACAGCACAACCAGGAATACCCCACAAGAGCTGCTTCAAAACTCCTGTCTAATTCACCCCAACAAACAACACTGTAATTTAAAAGGGGCACTGTGTAACTTTTCTCCTTGTTTTTTGTTATTACCTTGCTTCGAATGTTCCCCAGTATGTACTTGTCAATTCAATTATAGCTACTTTTATTGCTCAAAAATACCCTTTTACCATTTTTACTGTGTGTGACGTCATCTCTCCGCAGATCTGACTTGTACCTTGTAACTTGGTCATGTGTGCACCACCTGCTTGTCTACATGGGGATTGTCAAGTTTAATGCCATACTGTGGAACATTCCAGGCAAAGTGATATCTTCACAGACACAAGCATAAGCAAGTAAGTAAGTGGCAGACTCTCTACAAAAGGTACCGTATTTTTTGGACTGTAAGTGGCACTTTTTCATGGATTGGGTGTTTCCTGTGACTTATACTCCGGTGCGACTTATATATTAAAATTTTCACACTGAAGCTGCAAGAGGCTCTAGTCCTTGTGTGTCAGTATCTGCTGCTCCTATTACTCCTGTACCACTGTCACTTGGCTCTACTGCCCATGTCTTCTGCAGAAGGAGCCTCTGTCCTGCTGCAAATAGTGAAATACTCAGCAGAAAACATTACTTGAGCAGCAGAAAGAAAGTGTGGAGTGAGCGATAAACTTGTGAGGGACTGGTGAAAGGCGGGGATGGCAACTTTCCTGGAAGTCATTGGATGGATGGACAAAGCCTGAACTTCAGTGCCAACTGAAACCATCCTGTCGGGATTCAGAAAGGCCGGAATAATTCTAAATGGAACTGATGCCGAGTCTGATGACAGCTACACAGAAGAGGAAGCGGCGCAATGTTTATCTCCGGAGGTCACAGAGTTGCTCAGAAGTAACACCAAGGATGAAGAATTCAATGGATTTAGTGATTTGGAGTGAGACAGAGAGTTTGGTAAACTTGTTCTGTTCTGTTGTTTATGCTCTAGTTATCTGAATAACTGTTCATATGTGACATTAACAGCCTGTTGTTCTCTGTTCTATTGATATTACTAAAACTTGCCTTTCAAGATGAAATGTCAGTTCCTGGTCTCTGATTTTATAAAATAAATTTCCCCACAAAAATGCAACTTATGTTTTTTTCTTCTCCATTATGCATTTTAGGGCTGGTGCGACTTATACTGTGGAGCGACTTATTGTCCAAAAAATTACTTAGTGCGCCTTTAATTTGTACCAAATAAAATTCACTCAAATCATTACCCATCATTTTTTTCCTGCTTTAAAATATTTATACACATTTTTTTTTTGTGAATATATTTGACACAATGAGAGTCAAAATGAAAAGATGCACAGATGTTAATTCCACATCTTAAAGTCATAATGTTATGGTTGCTCAGTATACAACTAGAAAAATAAATGCATTCCTCTCTTGCCCTGACATCACTGACAATCACAAAACAGCACTAGTAATAAGGGGAACCGAAACACACTTCATTTTGTGCCTGTTGCAGCCACGCATTCTTTTTAGAACAAGAATTCAATATAGTTCGGTGGAAGCCCTTGAAATTAAAATGTTACTGAGCAGATTTTGACAATTGTTTATGAATTCGAGACATGCCAGCTTGTATTTTTAAGCAGAGGACTTCAAACATGCAAATACGGACGCCATTTTAAGTTTTTGTGGCACAAGAGTGAATTTTACTGTAAATCCATGCAAGAATGAATGAGCGACATCGCATTGAGGATGTGAACAATTCACGGAAGGGCATCAGGGCTTAAAACGGTGATTAGTTGCATGCAATTTCATCCCATTGTAGCGGAAAGTGGCAGTTTGCTTTTTAACTTGTGCTGTGAGCCCCTTGAAAAACACTCATAAACATACTGTACATTCACAATTGCATGCAGCCTCCACACACTCACACACAACACCACATACATCCACCGGGGGGCAATAAAGTGACAATAGTTACAGCCCTGCACTGCTCTTTCTTAGGGTGATCAAAGAAGCAGCGTGGGGCAAAGGTCGACGAGGGTTCATGTTGGGGTTTCCGTGGTTACCCCTACGACGGTTTGCTGTAGCCGAAAAGTCCCACAGGTAAATATTTGACATGAGTCGGCCACTGCGCAGCCAGCTGGAAGAACTTGACGTCGTTCCACTCCACTCCGTCGATAGACACTGAGGAGAGAAGAGATACTGAGCGATCAACTTTGACACGATTGACATCAATGTACAGAATTAATGCTGCTTTCACACATGTCCTGGTTTGGTCCTGGTTTAGCTCTGATGTAGACTTTGTTTAGTTTGGTTTAATAGGGATTAGTAGGGCTGGGTATCATTAAGAAGTTGCCGATACGATACATACCTCGACACACAGACCACGACACATATCTCAATACAGTGAGCTTTTGATTTGATATGATATATTTCAAATTGATTTGATAGGGTTCAATAAAAAAATCAAGGCTAAATCATGGTTGTCATACTAAACGTCTTTGTTAAACCACTTCTTCTAAGTTAATATAAAACACAAACATTTTAATTATCAAAACAGTGAAAATGTCAAATATATTGCATAAATGAGTTTCCTTTCACTAAACAAGCAACAAAACTGTAGCGCAGTAACAAAATAATTTTGTAAAATACACCAAAAAATACTCTTGGTGATATATCGATACAGCAGCCCACAATATCAATACTGTATCATCACATTAAACTATACAGTATATTGATATTTCAATATTTTTGCACACCCCTAGAAAGGATGTAACGATATCCAAATCTCATGGTACAATATTATCATGATATGCATCTCATGGTACAGTATTTTGATATTTTGAAGAGGCAAATATAATTGTAGATCTGCATGTAGGTCTGCAAAATACAGTTCTGACACATGATGAAATGTTAAGACATGTTTTGTATAATTTCTAATCTTATTGTAATTATTTTATTGACTATTTCATTCCAATATTACCTGTTCAATTGAATATTGGGGAAAAAAAAGAAACGGGCTAAATTTAATGTCCAAATAGGCGACTTATGGATCCCTTTTATTGCAGCTTCAATTATTGTTTTTCATTGTTTAAAACTTGAGTAATAATAATTGTTCAGAGAGACAATCACTGAGTCAACAATGAAATATCCTCATTAATGCTCAGTAATGGTGAAAAACACCTTTATTTTTTGATTTACAAATAATGTCTATTGACTTGGATCGTGAAGGTTTGTGACTTTTAAAATATGGCTCCCCAGAAAGTTTGTGAAACTCTGCATTAGACAGCATGTAAAGAGTAAAAGCCTCTGAAGTGCACTTAAATGTAGTTTACCTTTGAGGATAGTCTGTTGCTGTTTGGCAGAGCAGATGAGTCGACTGATGCCTTCAATGACCTGACTTTTAGAGTCCACATCTTTCTCCTTTGGCTTCTTACCCAGGAAGATGGTGGGAACTGGAGAGATATGAATACAAAAATGTGTTACATTATGACTTCTTGTAGTGCTGAATAATTAAGAAATCTTATCCAGCAAGTTTTGTATGCTTTAGTCTAAGTAACAGAGCATAGTGGCCACAGCAAATCAATAAAATTACGTCAGATGCCCATCAGCTGAAAGCAGACACATTTCAGTGAGTGGAGTGGGTCACATGATTTCCCCAGGCCCAGTGACTAAAAGCACCAGTCATCTCCTTTATACGCTATACAATGATTTTATAATTGAAATGTTGAGCAACTCCCTAGTCATCTACACTAGAGAGAGTACATGTATAATTATTTCAACATGAAGTTAAATAATCTTTTAATCCCATTTAATCCTATGTATATATTGGAAACTAGACCTTAAACAAACTGAAAGGTAACACGGGCTAAACAAGGATCGTTATGTAATTCAGTTACTCTTACAGCACCAGAAGAACCATTACTAAACATAATAGTTGTAGGTGTATATAATGTACAGTAGTAAATAGAGTAAAGTTGCCAGAGCACACAGTTATAATATTATTAAACCTTTGTATTTGCTCACCCTTCTTGTTCTTTTCCTTGGTCACCACAGTCATGGCCATAGTGCTGACCTGGGCCTGAGGATCGCTGCTGCCCCCTCCTGGCAGCCGGCTGACCTGCAGTGAGCGGAACGCACTCTTGAGTGTGTTTTTGCAGCCCGTGTCCCTCCTCTCGCCCTCTTTACGCTTCTCGGCCAAAGACGCGAGCCAGTAGTCCACCTGCAGGCCGATGGCGTCCACACCGTGAGACATGCTTGGGCTCCTGTGAGGGAAGACAAAATATGTGAACGAATCTCTAAAGAAGAGTATGGTTTCTTTTGTTTTATTTTTTGGACTTTGTTGAATGATGTTAACAAAAACAAATAGCTCAGGGTTTTCTTTGAATGATTCTCTCAATAATAATGATCTGCTAAATCTGCCAACAAATTTCCATGGGGAAGCAGATGGCAGATCCTTCACCAGAAAAGGTACATGACAAATATAATGCATCAGTTTGATACAGCGCTTTCCTGGACACTCAAAGACGCTTTACAGGTCATACATAGTGCGCCTTTAAATATCACATAAAACCGAATTGGACGCATAACCTGACCAAATCCACTTACTTCAACAGCGTTTTAATTGAGTGTGAGTGGTGCTTACCCCTGTACCGTGAGGACACTGCCCATCGAAGGAGAAGAGGGGGGTGTGGCTGCCTCTTTGATCATCCCAGTGGGAGAGCCGTGGGAGGGGGGTGACGTGGACGGAACAGCCAGACTCACCGCAACACCCTCCTCTGTGTCTCCTGTACAAGAAAAGGATGGACGAAATAAATCAAAGCCAAGGTCATTAGAAGAATTTTGTTGTTTTGTGTGTTTGTGTACACTGACCTGTTGGAGAGGGACCCGATTCTATAAGTCCAACCTTCACCACCTGAGAAAGTAGCAGAGCAAAATATCAGAAAATGAAGTACAGAATTTAGAAATAGAAAACACAAAAGTACTTGCTTACCCCAATAAATGGAATAAACTTGTGGTAAGAGTCTTCTTCTCGCCTAACAGAGAAAGAGCAGATATTAGTATATTTTGAACTGAATCATGATTTAGTCCCTGTTGATTTCACTTCATAATAAAGTACTTTGTTTTAAAACTTACGTCCGGTGTTTGCAGGTGAGCATAGCCTCTGCGATGGGCAACTGATGAGTCACTGTGGCTCCACTGATGTACTGAGCTATTCTCCCCGCTACATCCAACTGGTCTGAACAAAGACAACACCAAATCATTCATAACACAACATTTAACAACAATATACATAAATCTATACACTGTAGATATGAATCTATCAGAACAAGAGTCTTGTACCAGTCTGAGGTGGCTCTGTGCGGCTGAACACGTCTCTCCAGGAGCCGTCCAGAAATGAGGAGCTGTAACGGTTGTCGAGGGCTCCCAGATGCTTTGCAACGGGATGGGACCCTGAAGAAAAATTAATTAATGTTTAAGTCATAAGGTATATTTATTTTCTTACAGGACACAAGATATTTAGTTTAACGCAGCGCTGCATGACTTTATAGAGGAGGCACCTCACCTGCATGATTCAGAGGAAATAGAAAATTAAAACCATGCTTCAGGAATATTGCCCATGGAGACAGAGATGTTTTATGTCATACTGTGGAAGATTATGGCCCAGTTTACACGTACATGGGTATTTTTAAAAACTGAGACATTTCCCTTCATTTGTGCCCATCTTTCACACGCAAACTCGAATTCACCTCTGAAAACGAAAATTTCTAAAAACTCCGGCTAGAGTGGAGATTCTGGAAAACTCCAGTTTGGCGTTTGCGTATAAAGTGAGGTAAATGTGAGTTTTAGGAGCTGACGCACCAAAAGTACAACCAATGTTTCCCTTTTGGTCTGATGTTGATGATGGAAGCATTCAGAGCAGCAACCGCATTTCTTCTGGTGCAAACACTTTTCATTTGTTTGCATTTGTGTACACAGCTAATGTTTCATATCCATGACCAGAGATGAATGAGGGCTCGGAGGGCAGCAATTTTGCAACCCTGCTCAGTAATGCACGTTTTTCTGCAATGAAATAAATGCTACAGGTTGGAAACTAATCGAGGTGCCACCCATAGGCTTGGCGTAGTTAAGATGGTGCTGGATGACGTATTTATTGCGGGTTGATGTAAACGAAAACTTCTTTGAAAATGATACTGTGTGTGCACAATGTTATTTAGGAAATGGAGGGAAGGAAATATTAGTTTCTCAGCATACCCGGCCATGTGTAAACGTAGCCTATAGATAAACTAAAAATAATACACAGTGGGGCTTCAACACAGTCTTGTTTAGCTGTGCATATGCTGAAAGGTTTTCATTCCACATTCTTTCTCATTTAATGTCTCTCTCTCTTTTTAATTTTATGACGATTATTTATGTTTTGGTTTGTTTGTATTGTGATTTTAATGTATTTCTTATTCTGTAAATTACTTTGTGTACGAATTGTGCTATACAAATAAATTTGCTTGCCTTGCCTTTACGATAATGTTCATTGTCTCCAATAACTTTTCCACTCTTGGGTTTGAAATAATAAAACTGTTTATAGGGAGCTTGTTTCTTACCCAGCGGCACGACCAGGAAGCGCATGTGGTTGAGCCAATCGGACGTCTTGTTTGCAAGTTGCGTCACGAAGAACTGCAAAATGGCCCCCAAGTAATTCTGGCTGCCCACCACTGCCACTTTAACCGCTCTGGGCATTGACGAGTTACAGTTACAGCTAGAGAAGAGGAATAAGAACATATTAGCATATTTTTCCACATATAACCTTTGAAATGTCATACAACAACCCACAATAAAGTATGCAGAACAAGGGAGCAGGAACAGGGTCAAACTAAGCAGAGGAGCGGGCAGAGAGAGGACAAACTGGATGAGTCACTGAGAATAAATGGCAGACTATTACTAACAGAAGGTGTTGTTCTCATTTAAAAAAGAGTGAGCTTTGAAATGGTAGAAGATATGTATGCAAATGACGTGCACTCACAGCCAAGAAGCAAATAAACTAAAAAAGCCTGGAGGTAAATTTAAGCTTTTTAGGTTTCTGTTATTCTGTGATAGGAGAGTTATTATACCAAGATATTTCCTGTCCAAGTGAAATCAAAATAATTTAAATATGGTACAAAAACTACATTTTACAGAATAAAGGGTAAGGTACTCTTACTCAAATAAAGGTTTTGGTTACTTTCCATTATGAGTCTTAGAAGTGACAAAAGTTGACAATATGAAATTAATTGAACATTTCTTTTTCTCGCACCGCTGCTTTATTTATGATTTAGTTTATTTTCCATGTTTATTATATCATATAAAAATATACATTGTGCATCGTTTCATTGTCTGTTAATTTAAATCTGTAATGCCCACACAATTAAATTTGAATTGAGCAGTAGTTTTCCCAAATACATTACTCTTACCCAAGTCATTTCTTAGACCACTGATTTGTAGGGGTGTAGCGGTACACAAAAATCATGGTTCAGTACGTAACTCGGTTTTGAAGTCACGTTTCGGTTCATTTTTGGTACAGTATGGGAACAAAATGCAAAACCATTTGCTTGTTGTTTATTTGTGTGTTTATTAAACCAACATTTGTTTTAAAATTATACAAACTGGAAAAATGTATTAAATGCAAATTGCTGCTTGGTAATACTAATAAGTTAAATAAAATATTCTCAAATAAGCAACAAATGTATGAAATATTATAAAAAATACATTCTTTGTAAACAGTAAACAAAACTTTTCAAACAGTAAAGCGCAGCACTAACAGCTCCTACATGAAGTTTTACTCAATCTTCATATTTCTGGCCAGAAAAACCAACTTGTCCACATTGTCCACATTGTCTGCAGTAAGTGCAGATCTGCTGGAAGTTATCGTGTCGTGCAGTTGAAAATACACTTTCACAGAGATTCTGTGTCAGCGAAAGGCAAAAGTGAGGAATGGGGAGCAACAACTGTAGTTTTGTGAGGATTCACATGGTTCGGTGGGACGTAGTCGTAGCTGCCCTAAATATAAAGCACTGCCTGCGGGAAACTCTGCCACCCCAATCAGTGACGAGCTCCCTTGTGAATATTAAAGAGCCGAGCCTTCGTGTAGCTGCACATGTAGTGGCGAAATGGCGAATTTACTCGAGCACAGAGCTGCACCGAACCGAATGTCCGAATACATGTACTGTTACACCCCTGCTAATTTGTATTTCAACTTAATAATATTTTGAAGTAATTTGAGTAGAATATTTGGCTCCTCAACACACCTGTTTTAGATATACAAGTGAACATATATAGAGAATAGTAGTAGAAGTTTTTTTGGTATTCTGTAGGGCACTATGCTATACTACAACTATTTTTGTAATCTATTCTATACTATACTCATTTTTCTTTAGACTTCAACACTTTTTATTTATTTACTTGAGATATTATAAAAATTTTAAACTTACAATTTCTGTATTCTGATGAGGACCGCTGAGAGCACGGCCTGGATCTCCGCAGCAGAGCATGTGCTGACCACGGGCTGCCTCTGTGTTTGGAGCTGCTCTGTAACATACTGTCAAAACACAACACGGATCAACACAGGCAAATATTATATAACATACAGACATACGAGGGAGGCACGAAATATTTAAAACAGCATCAGTTAAAAAGGAAAGTAAATAAATGTGGCAATAACACTAAAGACCTCGATTTTTTTCTTAATATAGTTCAAATTCTTGTCCAAGTCTTCATTTGTTTTTGGTTTAATTTAAAGTTTAAAAAGGCGTTTAAAGTTTTGATTTAAATACTGTGAAAACGATTTAACTGTTCCTAAAATCTACATCCTACACTGTCAAATCCTGCATTTTATTTTACCCATATTGTGCAGCTCTAATAAGGTATTGTATTATCAGAAAATGTAATTATAGGTACCTGTCCTTGCCAGTCGGTGCAGTTGACCAAAATGAGACTCTCGGGGAGTGCGGAGTCTGTCACGAGTATTTGGTTTAGTTGATCGTACATTGCTTTCCTCAGAACCTAAACAAATGAAATTAAAAATCAAATAAAACAGCAATTACTATATTTTGTTGAATTGGGTCATTATAGCGTCACAAAGTAGTTACAATAAAATCAGCAAACAGTTCATTATTTTGCTATCTGCATATTAATAATTTTACCATCTCAGTTGAACATGATTTAGGACTAAACATAAAATAGAAAATTATATAAAAGAGGTTGTTTTGTCATCTGAAAACACAGTAATGTATTTACATAAGATATTCTCGATATAAATAAGCTCAGAGTTTTCGTGCCCTGTTCAGATGAGTCATAGTTATGTATTATTCATTTAGAGTGAATCAGACAGAGTAGATAATCAGAGCTACAAGAGAGCTTCTACTTTGAGACAAGACTCATTTCAAACTCATTCAAAGCCTGTGTAGGATTACCATACACACAATTAATACACATCTGCAAGTATAATCTGGAGCTACATACTATTTTCTCATTCATTTACATAGACTAAAAGATCGATAGACAAAAAAAACAACATCTGTATCAGTAATTTACAGGTAAAATAGATCTAAGTCAATAATCCTGGGCTGTCAAACTCAAATTCACAGTGGGAAAAAATAAAAAACTGCGACTCGTATTTATTGAAAAATTTCAACGACATGCATGTTTAATAATAGTTTTACTTAAACATTGAATCCAGAACAAGCATAATATAAAGTAATTACAAAATTTTAAATAAATAATGTCTCTATAGTCTATCTGTAGCCGACGGGCCAGCTTTAATGCATCTTTGATATGATCTTGCGGGCCAAATATAATTATATGGCGAGCCAAATTTGAGTTTGACGTGTTTGCAATAACCCATAACTCAGTTCTATTAAAGGTCCATTATGTAACTTCTCTGGTAGGGGGTCCACTATTTGCTTGTCTCCTTGGAAATGTAATTGCTTTGGATAAAACATTACACAGTACGGCATTACTGCATTTCATTTATTCAATTGTAGGTATTTTATTGCTTTAAAAAAAGTAGTAACTTGACCTGGTGGCTAATTTACTACTACTTAAAGCTTAATATCATGCTGTGTAACATTCCAGTCAATGCCATAACATTTTCAGACTAAGTAGAGCTTTTATATATTCTTCTATAATCATTTGTGATAATATTAAAGGTACCAAATAAATATGTTCATGTCTTTGATGAAATATTTAGCCCAAACTAAGAAAGAAGAACTTAGTAGACGTATTTGTGGCCTCTTACTGGAGTGGTGTGTCCGAGTTCTGGGGACCTCTCGGAGTCGGAGCTGTTGGCTCGTTCACTCAGAGGTTTGGACAACTGTCTCTCCTTCAGAGGAGTGGTGCCACTGCGCTTCGTTTTGGGTGTGTGACCTCCATCCAACCTAACACACACACACACACAAACACACACAGAAAATACACATCAAATAAGTATTAGGTGTAAAAGGTTTAAGCACAGGGTCACATTTTGTTGATGTGAAAATACATGCAACAACATCCAAATCTCATGGTACAATATTGTCACCATATGTGTCATGGATACACAGTAAATGTATCAATAACAATATTTATTGCAATATATACAGTATATTTACACATTTTCCTTCATGTTGACTTCAATAAAACTGCAAAGAATTGTGGTCGTACATTTTTTTATATCATTCTCTTGATCCAAACTGTTATTTATTTGCAGTTAACTGGCTTGTCCTTGGACAGTTAAAACAGAGTTGCTGCATAAAATCTGAAATTGTCTCAGAAATGCATTTCAAAAACCACCATTACTCAAATGAAAGTCATTTTATTAACAGCAGCCAAGAGTGGACGCACAGAGATGCCAAAAACACACATCCTCCCCCATTAAAAGTAAGTGTCTGTCTAAAATATAAGATATATTCTAGCTTTAAGAAAATAAAGTTTGAGCTTTAGTGTTACCTTGGTGAGGGCATGGTCTGTTTTTCATTCTTGCTTGTCTTCATTGGCGTGTTACAGGGTTTTTCGGCCACAGACACAGTTATACAAGGCCCCACCTCTGCGTACATCTCCTGATCCGTCAAGTCCTGAACAATAAAGAAATAAAGTCACTCATCTATTATCCATATTATATTTACAACTAAGAACTACTAAAACTTTCTGTTTTCTTACCAAAGTATCGGTCTCTGACAGAGCCTCCTCTAAGTTACGACTTCTTGAAGTTTTCATTTTCTCTATTGGAGGCTGCTCCCCCTGCTGGAGAGACAAGGAAATATAATAAACAAAAACAATGCTACATGAACATAAAAGATGACCAACTTTTAACTTGAGCATTTCAGTGAAGAATTTAATGATTCTCCAACCTTTTAGATTTTTACATCTTAATTCTATATATATTATGTTAATAATTTATCAACAATGATTAACACTAATTAAAATGCTTAAGTAGTATTAATGAGGGTATTATTTTGTAATGTTCAGCCATAGATGCTACCTGTAATAATAATAATAATAATAATAATAATATTTAGAACAAAACTAAAATCATGTCTTATATTATCTAATTAACTAATCTATGTTTACTTTTAAGTTACACCCATCAATAAAGAAAGATCATTACTGGGCCAGGATGTGGATCTGTCTAGACAGTAATTGAAAGAGTCATTTCAATGGGACACACAGACCACGGCACAGACAGCTCAGACTGATGAGAGGCTCTTGTATTGAACAGATGGCGACAGTCAAAGAGCCATTGGATTTCTGCTCCATTAAGAGGAAACATGCTCTGATATTTTACATTCAAAGCTGCCACCGCTGAGAATGTGGATATTTACCACATTAGAGACAGAGTCATGGCTCTTCCCTGAACTCAAAATGATTCATGCAGTAATAAATGTTATTGGGGAATAATAGGCTGTAGTCGGTGCAAATGTATAAACAAGAAAACAATAACAAAATCTATACAAATTAACACATAACTCACTGTAAAATGTATTTCTTTGGCTGTCTCCATCTAATTCAATATTGTTGTAAAAATATACGTATAAGACTATATTTACTTTTATATTTTATATGTGCCGTTACTTTTGAACAGAATATCAAGTACTGAGGGATAAATTTGGATCCAGGGGGGCAGTCATACAATTTTCTCATGATTCAATACATACCATGATAAATATGTCATAATATCTATACGATTCCAATATGTTTTAGACCTCATTAAAAGAAAAAAAAACTGTTACCTCTAAAATTTGTATTAGTAATTGTCAATAAACAAAACCATCTACCGTATTTTCTGGGCTATTAGGCGCTCTGGATTATAAGGTGCACTGTCATTAAATGGTCTATTTTCGAACCTTTTTCACAAATAAGCCACACTGGACTTTAAACGAAACACAAGTGTTCGATGGGTCAGTGGGACTTTGTTTGGTGTGTTCACGGTGACTCTGGGTTTTGTTCAGTTGTGGCGTGTAGGGAGGGTGCTGTCTGGGACCGCTGGATTGTCGGCGTGTTCGCAGTGACTCAGTTGTTCAGTTGTGGCAAGAAGTGGCACATTGCACTCGCTTTTTCGGTTCGTTCCTCCGTTCCGTTCCTCATCCACGTGGAGTGATGAGTGTAGCTGCGGGTGTTTTTCGCCGCGCGGTCGCTGTCTGCTCCGTGCTTGTTTGCGTGCGCTGCGGGTGGTGCGACTGTGTAGTTTACTGAAGTCGTGCTGGGACACCCGAGTGGATTCGTGCATAGGGCGCTCTGGATTGTGGGACGCGCAGTCGTTTTTTGATGGAGTTGGAGGCTTAAGAACACGTCTAATAGCCCGGAAAATACGGTACATTACATCATCTCTTCTCTGTTCAAATACAGCAGAGTTGGGCCTTTCTAACTCTATCTGCAAACACAGCATGATTAATGTGACATGTTTATATTGAGTCACTCATGTGTTTGTATTGTGAGAGTCGTACTGCATAATTTAGTGATATATTCAGTATTGTTGAATCCCTATCGCACAGATGTGGCCTTGGGGTTTGATCATAAGTTTATGGAGCAAAAATTAGCAATGTCACAGTTTTTTTTTTTTTTATAATTTTTTACCATAATACAAAATCCCTGACAGAGCGATTCTTTTGTAGTCCTTGGTTAAAATACTTGAGATGGTTCGGGCTTTTGAGTGCCGCTAAAGCTCCTGAGCCCAAATCATTGTTCTTCCTGCTGACGCTGAGTATTCCTGAGCGAGGAGCTACTCACAGGGCTGAACGTGTCCCGGCCCAGACTGCCTTTGCTGTTCAAACTGGCGATCTCCGTCTGAGAACTGGACTGTGACATTCCCTCAAAGAACGGCCTGAAAAAAAAAAACAATAAATTAAAATTTTATCTGTGACTTCACTGAAAAACAAACACGCACTTAAAATTTATTTATTCACATCAGGCACATGTTAAAAGAAAATAAATGCCCCTGTGCCCCTGATCTTCAAAACATTTTATTTGCTGTTTAAAACTGGTGGGGAAAAAAAAGAAAATGTTTTGATTTTAATTTGTTTTCTTATGTTTGCCAGATTAATTGGCTACTTTGGGTGGTCAAAGTTTGTAGGTCAGGAGTTTTTACTTTTTATTTGGAACATGTTTAGTTTTGATAAGTTTGAAAGAGAAAATTACATTTATTCTGTACTTTTATGTTGATCAGAAACAGTTAATAAATTATCTAAAATCAAGGACAGCTCATAAACACAACTGTAGATCATGTACAAACACATTAACAAAAGGGTTACTTTCCATTCACAGGTGCACACAAAAGTAAATTATTTTTAATCATATTTATTCCATTTAATTCAGAAATAACAAAATAGAAAAATCGAAATGAAGCAAGATTGCAATAAAACTTTTTTCAGTGCCTATAGATATAACGAAAAGCAAGCAATAGTGTGAACGAAAACCACAGTGGCAATTTTGAATTCATAAAAATATACATAAGATTGAAGTGACGGAGCATATTTATGTGTAACTGCACGTTTCTGAAAACATAAGGATTCACACTAGATTTTTCTCTTTTATTCCAAAGCAAAATCACAGACTGTTTTATCCCTAGTCTCGACTAACTCAGTTGCAATACTCCTCATCACCAGTAGAGTGCGCTCTTTATTGCTAGTTTAATACCATGATGTATTCTTTGTACCTGAGCTTGGGTTTGGGTGTGCTCATGATGCTGTCCGTCTCCTCCATCTCAGGTCCACTGTCGCTGGGGTTGTACATCTCCAGACTGTCGTAAAGCTCGTCCAGATCCTCCTCCACCTCCTGGATCTGCTCCCGGGACACGTGCTCCAAGCCAAAGCCCACCTAAGGCACAAACACGACAGAGATGTGGTTTTACACTAGGCCTGGTCAATATGAATGGATAAACAAATACATTTCCACATTAAAAAATACAATACTTTGAATCTTTATTATTGATCCCCCAAATATTACCCGCAAAAGACCTACAAATATAGCAGTTCAGGCATTTCATAACTGTAAAAGCTCCTGGATTTGTTAAAAACTGTGAATTTAATTTTGATTTTCACAATTGCAATAGTTGGCAGATAAACCCCATTTAGATATTTATATATTTATCCAAATTAAATATTGTTGTACGCAGTGACCTTATGTTTAATGTATTTCACAATAGTATCTGGCCGAACATTTTTGCTATTATTTATTTCAGTACAAATAGCCTCCTGAGACCCGGCCCACTTCATTTGTGTCCTTTACAGTGGACATTGAGTTAATCAGTCTGTCTTTTAAGTGTTTTGAGACAGACTGTTAATGGGGGACTAGGACTCTGCTGAAATAAGGCGGGGGGATTATAGGGTACAGTATTATCATGTCCAGGATAAAAAAAATTTACTCAAAAGGAGTTAGTTTGTGGCTGCAATATGACAAAAAATTTAGAAATTAAAAGGGAGCCTAAAAACTTTTTGAGGGGACTGTCGAAGCTTGTCAGAGTCAACAAAAAAGATGTTTTGTTAGGTTAACTTTGCACTGATTTAAAACCAAAATGTCCCCAGTGTACATTACAGAGGACATGTTATAAAATTATAAATAAAAATAAAATGAACTAAAATGCTAAAGAGTTCATTTACCTCCAAATATAGAGAAAATCACAAAAAACTTGCAATACACTTTTTTTCTTTAGGTCCGAGCAGGATATACATCAATAACTGTCATGCAATTATTTAAAAAGAAAAAAAGAAAAGAAAAGCTAAAAATTCAGAAGAAATTTTATGCTCAGTATTTTCAAACCTTGCCTCTAACCTTGTGCGTTTTTGCCACAGTAAAAGACAAACTTAGACGCTTAGACCTCCTGAATATATTACTATTATTTATATAAAAAATACTGGAGACTTGGCTAATACTTTACCCAATATCAAACTGAAATTCAAGCTATTTTTTAATCTCTCCATTTTGCAGAGAGATAGTAGAAATCCTCCTCTTCTTCGTTGATAGTGTGAATGTGTGAACAGTCTTTTACATTGGATTCCCTCCAGGAGAATCTAAACACACACATACTTCTGCGCTATTTTTATCTACAATGTTTCTCCCAGAGCTGCCAGAAGAGCTACACTCCCACACACTTTTCTGCACCACAGAAAAAACAATGAATTTACTCGGATCAGCCATTACATTAAGACCACTGAGAGGTTAAAAGGGCACGAGAGGTTACTGCCCTTTCCCTCTCTGTGATGTTGAACCATTATAGAGAAACAACGGTCTGCGTGTTATGTTTTCACTTAACAACACCTCAGATTGGTTCAGATCATTAGTACTTAGTAGTTGCTTCTGTGTGGCTTCTCTTCTTTCAAAAAAAAATCTGTTTAAAATGCAAATAGGCAATATGATTAAGTCTTTCTACAAGCTTTTCAATTAGTTAATAGAAAAAAATTCGACTAAACATAATAAGATGCAGATCAGATGTCAAATTTTCTTTTTAATTTATGTTAAATGAATGTGAATATTTGAAATAGACCACCTTAAAATAGATATTTTTAAAAAGGGTGATTAAAAAAATATATATATATATATATACTTTTTAAGGGTAGTTGAGAACTAAATTGTCAACTTTCAATTGTTAGTTGCATCCCCAGTGCAGAGACAACTCAAGTCTGATGAGCTATTCTAATCGGTGTATCATTCATTCATTCATTTTTCAAAATAAAACCAAAAATAAGAAAATGAAAAAACAACTATTTTCTCAATTATTTGTGTAAAAAAGATAACGATTTGTTTTTTCAGTTTTCGATTTTGTGTTTAAATGAATAATGGAAAAAAAAAAACGGATAACGGCCATTTCCCGTTTCTGTGACTTAAACTGCGATGCTGCACCAAACCAGGACTGAAATAGAACTAAAAGTAAAACAGGACTAAACTAGGTCTAAACCAGAATTGAACCAGGACTAAACCAGGTTTAAACTGGTTTCTGGTCCTGGTCTGGTCTCGGTTTCCTGACCACCTGACAGTCTACTCGGGCGCACTTTCGGACCCATCCCAACACTCCTGGTTCCTGGTTCAGTCCTGGTTCAGTCCTGGTTCAGTCCTGGTTCAGTCCTGGTTTAGGACTGAGACCGTGACCAGACCGTGACCAAACCATGACCAAACCGTGACCAGACCGTGACCAGGTTTTGGAGACAAATAATGAAGAAAATAGTTGCTTTTTCATTTTCTCATCTTTGGTTTTATTCTGAAAAATGAATGAACGAATGATATACAGATTTTTCTACTTGTGGTCATAATATTGTGGCTGACATTTATGGTGTGAGGAAATATTTCATGACTGTGGGAAAAAAAATACAGGAAAAGTTGAGGAAAAACATGCAAAACCCACCTCGTCTGTGACTTTAAAGCGTTTGAGCAGGGCCACAAACTTCTCTTTGATTTTGGGTTGCTGGAGGGAGCACAGAGGAACAATTTATGAAACGCTGGAGGGAAGATGGATGCTCAAATCTGAAAAATGTTATTGTCAGTGAGGGAAGAAGAAGAGGAGAGAGGAGACGAGGAGATGAGGAGACGAGGAAATGAGGAGAGGAGCACACTATAAACACTTCACTAAATACATACACAGCCACTTCTGGAAGCGTATATTGAGACATGAGCTGCACAGACATGTTTAAATTACAGGGCCTGGGTTTTGATTGATGAATATAGATTAGTATTGGGCCATAGAATACAAAGAATATATAATACCCTTACCTCTGCCCTAATAATTTGTATTTTAATTAATTAGTCTTTATTTAATGTAGCTATTTTCTAATGTTTCAGTTTTATTTTATTAGTTTGTCTTGTTTTTATGTGGTATGTTGAAAGCAATTTTCCATTCTGACTTGCTTGACTACGAAAACAATAAATTACCAATCACAAAAAACAAAGACGGCGCATTAGCCAATTAAAGGACGGATGAGAGCTCATGTCTGAAAAATGTTACTGTCAGTGAGGGAAGGAGAGGAGGAGGAGAAGAGAAAAACTAAGGAAACGAGGAGATGAGGAGAGGAGATAGGAAGCCATTTCTCCCCTGTTGGCTTTTCACGCATCACGACTCAAAACAACAGCAGTTAATGGATACAGCAGTGGGCGCTCCGTCATATGAAGCAAAATTGTTATCTGCGCAGAAATAAACTATCGCAAGGAGTGTGTGCAATGGGACTAGTAAATCATCGTTATGAAGCCTGTTTAAATGAATGTGCAGATGTTTATATTTACCTAATGAAAAGCCGTATGTTCGTATTATGGCAAAGGGAGATAGTGAGTTGACAGTGCACTTTTATGACACTAATGACTAAACATTATCTTAGCTAACGGAGAGAGAGAAGAGTCTATTTCAGAGCAATAAATTGTTTTAAATTGTCCCGAGTATTGTATTACGGAGTTCTGTCATTACGTGTGTTAATTGTATGTGTACAATCTTACAAAAACTATGCTACATTTAAGATGAAATTTACATATCAATAACTTAAATGCCAAGTTTAATCCTCTTTTCCAGAAAATGCCTTGGAAAAAAAGAGGATTAAATGGGATTAATGGTCAGATAACAGATTTTTTTTTTTTTTTACCTGGTTTCTAGTTGATATCTGCAATGCCTATTAGGGGTGTGCAAAAATACTGAAATAATAAATATATCATATTGCTTAATGTGATGATACAGTATCGATATCATGGGCTGCTGTATCAGTATATCGCCGAGAGTATTTTTTTATGTATTTACTAAATTGTTTTGTTACAGCGCTACAGTTTTGTTGCTTGTTTAGAGGAAGGAAACTCATTTATGTAACACATTTGACATTTCATATGAATTTTGCACAAGAAGTGGTTTAACAAAGACTCTTAGTATCACAGCCATGATTTAGCCTTTATTTTTTATTGAGCTGTGTCAAATTGGTTTGAAATATATATCGTATCAAATCAAAAGTGCACTGTACTGAGATATGTATCGCATCATGGCCTAGGTATCAGGGTGTGTATCGTATCGTGGCCTATGTATCGAGATATGTATCGTATAGTGGCCTATGTATCGAGATATGTATCATATCGTGGCCTATGTATCGAGATATGTATCATATCGTGGCCTATGTATCAAGATATGTATCGTGGCCTATGTATTGAGAATTGTATCGTACCGTGGCCTATGTATCAAGATATGTATCGTATCGTTGCTTATGTATCGAGATATGTATTGTGGCCTATGTATCGAGGTATGTATCCTATCGTAGCCTATGTATCGAGATATGTATCTTATCATGGCCTATGTATCGAGATATGTATCGTATTGTGGCCTATGTATCGAGTTATGTATCGTATCAGCAGCTTCTTGATGATATCCAGCCCGAATGCCTCTGCCTATCCACATGAAACAAAACCTGGCACACAGCTGAATGTCTTCTCTGTCATTATCATTTATAAATAAACAATAAAACTTAAATTATTTTTTCACAATACTGTAAAATTTTTGTAAATTGAAAGGACTTAACATAGGATTAATTTAACTTTAATTTAGAATAAAAAGCTTCAACATTTGTGGATCTTAAGTTTGGAAAATCTCCCATAGAGTTCCAAAGGCCGCTGCCCTCCATCTAAAATGATGACTTGAACACAATTTATACTCTAATAATTAATCCCACATTATTTACCTTGTGCTTGGGCTCTGCTTTCAGTCCTAAATTAAACAGCCCTCTTATCATCAACACTGCATCCACTTGACATTTCACGCTTTCAACACAAAACAAACACTAAACAACTCCACTCTGACTATAGGTCAAGGTCCACGCTCAAACGCAAGCGCTTTGATTTTGGACAGCGTAGCAACTTTATGAGCGAATCTTAAAGCTGCACTATGTATTTTTTCTGATGGTGGTGGTGCAAAATGTTAACGTGTCCATGGAGATGTTGTTGCTTTGCCGTAAATATTTGACAGAATGGCATTAAAGTTATTCTATTACAGGTGAAATAAATACCTTGATCACATGGAGACAAATACATTTATGCCATGCTGTGGAAAATTCTGGGCATGCAAGTGGCAGAGCTTCCAAAAGAAAAGTTACATAGTGCATCTTTAATTAACGCTCCCTATTATCGTTAAATCACTGGACTACGTGAAAGGTTAAGGTATTCGTGGGTTTCAGCTTCTTGTTATATTTTGAGGACTTTTTCCATTCAAAAGCTAAAAGACTTTGTTATAAATTGCTAATCGCTATGGCAACAGCAACATGGATAGGATAGGCCATAAACTCTGGAACATTCTGCCCCTCCACGTCCGAACAGAACCCACTTTTATTCTCTGGCTTTTAATACCATGTGAGTTGTGTGGTCCTCTGTCTTTTTTTTTTTTTTTTTCATTAAATTTTTTCATTAAATTTTTTATTTTATTTAATTTTATGTATTTTTATTATATGTTTTTTAATTTAATATTATTTATACATTTTTATTTGATTATTTTTTTTATGTAATTTTATTTTTTATTATTTTATGTATGTATTTATTTATTCATTGTTTTATCTAGTTAATTTTTTTAGTACTGCTTTTATGTATTGATTTTATTATTTTTGTTCATTGATTTTATTATTATTATTTTATTGATTGATTCTATTAGTTTCCTTTTGGCTGGAACACAATTCTGCTGATTTATTTATTTATTTATTTTTTAAGTAAAATGTAAAAAGCACTTTGGAAACTGTCTTGTTTATAAAATGTGCTTTACAGATAAAGATGGATTGGATAGGATAAAGGACAATGGATCATCTTGCTGTTTCAAACCAAACACTAATCTATATTCTTCGGTCAAAATCCAGTCTCTGTAATTTAAACATGACTGTGCTTCTCTAGTGCCAATATATGTTCACCTAGAAGTGTCTGTGTGTCAATCCAGTGTTTGTATGCGTTGTTTTTGTCGCACAAATTGGCCTGAATTACCTGTCAAGAACAGGGGAAATGGATTTATACAACGGAAGGAAGGCAAAAGTGCTACAGGGGAAAAGACGAATGAGGAGATGACGAAGAGGAGGTGAAGAGAGAGAAGGACAGGGCATCTGAGGTAAGAATGGAAAGGGGTGGGAGCTAAAATCCAAAGACTAATCGAGGGCAAACCATGGGTTTCAAACTGATGAAAAATATAGGTCTGTTGTCATAATGATTAACAATAAAAATATATCTTTTGAAGAGTGAAATGTCCTCAAAATATCACCTACACTAGTAAACTGAAACCCATGAAAACAAGGACTAAACCAGAACTAAAGCAGGACTAAATCAGGTTTAAAAGTAGGTCTAAAAGAAGGACTAACACAGGACCATACTAAAAATAAACAAGATCTAAGTCCAGATTCAAAAAAGACTAAAGTAGATCTAAGAATTAGGACTAAAACAAGACTAAAACAGGACTAAAGCAGGACTAAAGTAGGACTAAAACAGGCTTAAAACAGGATTAAAAAAAGAAATAAAAACAGGACTAAAGCAGGACTAAAACAGGATTAAAAAATGACTAAAAGCAGGACTACAGCAGGACTAAAGCAGGATTAAAACAGGATTAAAAAAGGACTAAAAACAGGACTAAAGCAGGACTAAAACTGGACTAAAAATAAGGACTAAAAACAGGACTAAAGCAGAGCTAAAGCAGGACTAAAGCAGAACTAAAGCAGGACTAAAACTGGATTAAAACAGGCCTAAAACAGGTTTAAAGCAGGACTAAAACAGGATTAACGCAGGACTAAAACCGAACTAAAGCAGGACTAAGACAGGAATAAAACAGGACTAAAAAAATTTACTAAAAACAAAAAAAGGACTAAAGCAGAGCTAAAGCAGGACTAAAGAAGGATTAAACAGGACTAAAACAGCACTAGACCAGCACTAGACCAGCGCTAGACCAGCGCTAGACCAGGGCTAGACCAGGGCTAGACCAGGGCTAGACCAGCGCTAGACCAGCGCTAGACCAGGCTAGACCAGGGCTAGACCAGGGCTAGACCAGGACTAGACCAGGACTAGACCAGGACTAGACCAGGACTAGACCAGGGCTAGACCAGGGCTAGACCAGGACTCTTAAATGACATTGCCAGACATTTGATTTTATAACAGAATTACAGTAAAATTCTATATTTATTTGAGCACATCTCATAAAATTGTCCTGGAGGCTCTGATGACAGAGGGAATAGAGAAATAAATGGGTTGTCTGAGGTGAGCAAAGAGATAGAGGGAGGGAGGAGGGAGAGAAAAGGAGAGAGAGGTGGGGAAAGAGGGGGGGAGCCGAGACAACATTACATTTATTTGAAAAGGTTTTATTTTTTTGGCTTCTCAAAGTAGGTCCCTGCCACAAATTACATTACAAACCAAACAAGCAAGAAACACAGACAAGAAAAAACAGAGGGACAGAGACAGAGAGACAGACAGAGATAGAAATATATAGAGAGAGAGACTGGAAGAGAGAGAGAGAGAGACAGACAGAGCGATAGAAACAGAGACAGAGAGAAAGACTGAAAGAGACAAACAGAGACAGAGAGATAAAGAGAGATAGACGGAGAGAACGAGAGAGAGAGAGAGACACACACAAAGAGAGAAAGATGCAGGAGAGAGAGACAGAGACAGAGAGACAGAGCAAGAGAGAAAGATAGACAGAGCGAAAGAGAGAGACAGAGAGAGAGAAACAGGAAGAGAGAGAGAGCAAGAGAGAGACAGAAACAGAGACAGAGAGAGGGAGCGAGAGAGACAAACAGAAAGACAGAGAGAGAGAAAGAGGCAGACTTAGAGAACGAGAGAGAGAGACACAGGGAGAGAGAAAGATGCAGAGAGAGAGAGAGAGAGAGACAGAGCAAGAGAGAAAGATAGACAGAGCGAGAGAGAGAGACAGGAAGAGAGAGAGCGAGCGAGAGACAGAGAGAGAGATACAGAAACAGACAGAGAGAACGAGAGCGAGAGAGACACACATACAAAAAGAGAAAGATGCAGAGAGAGAGAGAGAGACATACACAGAGAGAGAGAGAGATAGATAGAGACAGACAGACAGAGACAGAGAGAAAAATGCAGGGAGAGAGCGAAAGACTTAGAGAGAGACAGACACACAGAGAGAGAAAGAGACAGAGAGAGAGAGACAGACATACAGACAGAGAGAGAAACACAGAGACAGACACACACAGAGTGACAGAGAGAGAGAGACAGAAACAGAGAGACACACAAAGAGAGAAAGAGGCACACACACAGAGAAAGACAGAGACAGACACAGAAACAGAGAGAGAGGGAGACAAACAGAAACAGAGAGACAAAGAGAAACAGAGAGAAAGAAAGAGACAGACACAGAGAGAGAGAGAGACAGGGAGATGGGGAGGGACATGAACAGAGGAAAACGGAGTGAGTGGAAAAGACAGGAGATGTAATAAAAGAGAGAGAGGTAGATAAACAGAGAGACGGGTGAACAGAAGTGTGAGAGGTGTGTCTTACTCTGGTGATTCCGGCATTTGAGGTTTTGCGTCTAGTGGTTTTCTTCTTCCTCACATCTTCATCTTCATCAAAAAGATACTGAGAAAAGACAAAGATAAAGATGAAGAGTTAAAGGTGCACTGTGTCACTTTTCCAATAGGAGATCCACATCCACGAGGTCCTATAAATGTTTCTATCTTGCATTTACTGATTTACACATGCATTCTTACAGTTAACGGGCTCGCCTCTCCACTGATCTGACCAGTAACTTGGCCTTGTAGAGTCACCAGCTCGTTTGTATTGGACGCGTCATGAAAACGTGATGTTATTTCTACATGTTATGACCACAGATCAGGCATTATAAAGCTAAAGGCCATAGCTCAAAGTACAGCAGCTCTTTTATTGATCCGATTCGTAATTGACCTACATTTCCATTTCTTTAGAACGTTCCGGTGACGAGGCTCATTCCAGACACTGGCCACTGACGCATTCTGACTAAGAACGCCATCAGCAGGGCATCTATGCAGCACATTGCCTGGAAATGTGTCATCGCCACGGTAATAATAAATCAAAATTAAGCTGGTGATTCACTTTAAGCTCAATACTTCACAGAGTATTAGACAGGATTACTCAGCTAGCGATTTCTTACTTTAATTTTTATTTCACTTTCTAACTTCAGGGTTATGATCCGTGCAGTGTCAATAAAAGGAAAAAAAGACTAAAACACACAGTCTGTTAAAAGAAACAGTAAAAAGGCTGCGATAATAATTATATTCGGTTAACCAAATATGACATTTCTGCTCTTGAATTACTCAGGTAATTACACAGTTACTCACTTTTTGTGCGATTTTTTTTTTTTTACAGTTATGCTTTAAAACTCAAAACAATATACCGTTTACTGTAATATTATTTGTACTCACATTGGGGTTGTCAAATAAATCCATACTCAAACACAAACTGATTCTACTGTCTAAAAAGAGAAGTGTTTTTATTGCAATTGTGGTATTCCTTTGTGAAGAAGAAGAGCTGGAAGTTTTTGTGAAATGACAACTCAAATAAATACTCCCAATCCGTGTTTCATTCATTCATTTGTTTTTCAAAATAAAACCAAAAATAAGAAAATGAGAAAACAACTGTTTTTTTTTTCATTATTTGTCTCTTAAACCAAAATCAAAAACAGATAACGATTTATTTTTTCAGTTTTCGATTTTGTGTTTAAATGAATAATGGAAAAAACGGATGAAGGTCGTTTCCTGTTTCCGTGACTTAAACTGTGATGCTGAACTGAGACCAGAACTGAGACCGGGACTGAGACCAGGACCAGACCAGGACTGAGACTCGGACTGAGACCGGGATCAGGACCAGGATTGAGACCAGGACGAGACAGGGACTGGACTAGGACTGAGACCAGGACTGAGATCGGGACCAGACTGGGACTGAAACCGGGACTGAGACTGGGACCTGGTTTAGTCCTTCTTCAGTTCTGGTTTAGACTTGGTTCAGTCCTAGTTTAGACCTGGTTCAGTCCTGGGGTAGTCCTGGGGTAGTCCTGGGGTAGTCCTGGGTAGTCCTGGTGTAGTCCTGGTGTAGTCCTGGTTCGGTCTCGATCTCGGTCTCGGTCTCGGTCCGGTCCTAGTCTGGTCCTAGTCTGGTCCTAGTCTGGTCCCGGTCCCAGTCCCAGTCCCAGTCCCTATCTTAGTCCCGGTTTCAGTCCCAGTCTGGTCCTGGTCTCAGTCCTGGTCCTGGTCCTGGTCCTGGTCCCAGGTCTCAGTCCTCTCCTGGTCAGTCTCGGTCTGTCCTGGTCTGTCTCGTCATCTCGATCAAATGACAGTCACACAGATTACCCCCCTCCTTATTATTTGTGCTTGACACTTCTCCACTCACCGCCAAACACAGAAGGTAAAAACAGTAAAATATAGTTCAAGGTCTGTGCGTATTGATTTGGTTTTGTGGTGTGCAGTGACCCAATTCAGCTCTCATCTCGTGTGGGAGTCTCTGTTCTTAATCTCTGTGTGTGTCACCACTGGACGCCAATTTCTCCGGAGCACATATAATCCGCACACAAAGAGAGCAGGTGACCCGGGGTTTAACTAGAAAGAAGCAGCATGAAACTGTGTGTAACCTGCACTCTTACTGTTTAACAAAACCTACAGCGGTCACAACTGAACATGGTTGTATAGCAAGGGCTTTTCAGTTCAAAAAATATACAGTTTGTGTCTATTGCCCTTCTAAGATGATTATTTAGCAGATAACAGCCATGGAAAAATGTCTCCTCACCAACAAGCAAAGGGAAATCTGCTACAAACTTCTACATGGAATATTGTCAGTAGAGTCGGGCTGCTGATAGTGCACGAGTAGGGCTCTGTTTGGGAGGTGCACTTGTGGTGATAGTCGCGCTTTTTCCGCAGCGACTCATTATAAGGCAAGTTTAATTGAAGATGAAGTCAAGTAAGTTCCTTTTGAAAAGTTTTTCAAAGTTTAGTGTGCACCATCTTCACTCACGCCCGCTCAAGCCGCTATCTTCGGGTGCGGCTCTGTCCTGCCGCTTCCCCAGTTTAAGCTCCTGGCCCCACTAATGACATCACTCTGTTGCAGCCAATGAAACAGCGGCAGGTGTAACTCTGTCGTCTTATCACTGAACACATCTCAGAACGTCTAATAAACACAATGTGAACTAAAATGAGTTAAATCAATACTACAGAGTTTGGAAATATATCTGAATACATTTATATTTTTGTTTATCAAAATAAAATGTCAAATATTGGTAGGGACCATTTTGTCTTCCCCAAATATTGGTCCTATGCAAACTTACGCCCCTGAACTGTAGAACTACAACAGGTCTATGATCAGAACTGACATTGGACATGGTGCTTTAATATTGATGTAACAAATGTATTTGCTGTGAACTGTGGTGTACAGGTGAACAGTGAATGAAGGTCCGTGCATTTCAAAGAACATGAATCATAGGGAAAGATAGATTAAGTGTGTGCCCCTGTAAGAATACCTGTCCGTGGATGGGGTCATCACTGCCCTCCTGCTCTGATGAGTAGCTCTCCTCTTCCTCTTCTGAGTAGTTATCAATGTCAGGGGAGCGATCTGGGAAAGACAAGACACTTCAGGACTAAACCAGGTCATAATTTTGAGACTTCATCTACCATATTGCATTTGGTTATGTCAAGATTGATTGCGGGAAAGTTTTTTTTTTTTTTTATTCATGAAACTGGTCACATGCTATAGGATGATAATCTTTTGGATGGTAAATTAAACGTTAAAGGGGCTGAACTAGATTTTTTCCCATGTAGTTCAGCCAAATTGGTCTTGCTATTGAAGCTAGATACTTATTCGAGTATCAGTATTAAATTCCAAAAGACCACAATCACTAGTGTACGCCCATGGACCACTAACCTACCTGGATGACTGAGGGATTACACCAATATAAACACACACTGTAAAATAAAAGCAAGTCTGTCCAGTGTTTTTATTATCATTGTGGTACCGGAATTGATAATCTATTCCTTATCATTGAAATAGAGTTTGAATTGTAACAACACTCATTAGATACAAATCCAAAGAGTACAGACCGGACATCTTGGCTTTGGGTCCCTCGTGGTCGATGGGTTGACTCGATAAAGAGTAAACTCGGATCTCTGCCACAGGGACAGACGCGTCCTTCAGCTGACTGTGAAGCCCCAAAATCTGAGCTCCTTCACTGGGGTGCTGCATCACCTACAAGAACAAAACAATATTTAGTTTAGTCATGCTTTCTTCCTCTATTTTAATTCATGTAATCTATTCAGAGATCCAATCAAAGTTTATTGGTAAAGCACATTTTATAAAATTGCAGCACATAATAGAAATGTAAAGTAACATCTGGCTCTGAAGGTCAGCAGAAATAAATTTCAGAGAAGTAGAACTAATAAGATCAAATTAATTCATAAATTTGTTAATATTAAAATACAAATAATTGGCGATGGTCCAACATGGAGCCAATGCGATATCCAATATTTGTCTTACTTTTGTCACTGATATCAATATTACAATTTTAAAATCTATAGTACAAACCAAATATGTGTTAAGCTATAGTGAACTTTACAAACTTACTTACCACTTCTGTAAAAATAATAACACCTTTTTATGTATTTATCTGGGATATAAATGCATATTTTCACTCATTAATCTGCTCAAAATGACCAATTTGAAGCACTGAGGACAAACTGGGAATGATACATGGTCACACAGTGACTAGGGTAGTGCCAAATATCAGCTAAAAGAAAAAAAAAAGTTCAAATTAATATAAAATTAATAAAATACAGAAGCTTTGCAGTATTTGCAGTACAGTGTTTTCCTTGTATTGGTGCAGTGCCAGGTGACTCAAGATGTAATTTGTTCAGTATTACAATATTTACACATGACTTTGTTAGGACTTTGGGAGAGAATGTAGGGTCACAGCTGGAAAAAAAGGAATTGAGCGCAATGTAAACAGTGGGAAAAAAAAAAAAAAGAATGAATATGCTACAGATGCTCCATAGTTTTTCTGGTATCCACGTTATGACATTATCAGTGTATCTATCACCAGTGACAGACTTTCCAACAGAGAAATCACACAGTGCACCTTTACAAAATATTCAATACAGCACATTAAATCCTAAATATAAGTCTATTCATCTTTGCTAAAACATCACCATTGTTGCACCTGTATATATTTATTTTTTGCTTTTTTATTGTATTTACATGTGGTGTTCTGTACCAAGAAATATGTCTTCCTCCGAGCAGCATACCTCTGCCTTGATCGTTTTTGTTGTTAAGATATTGACGCTCAGGCCTTATCAAAACAAACACGTAAAAACACTGACAGGATCCTGGTTCGAGAGCTCAGAAATGATTATTACACCGAAGGGATCTGGAGACGTGGCAGAGAAACGCATTAATGAAAGATGAGGAAAAATGAAGGTTGACAGAGATTTGAGACAGATCAGTGAACAAAACAAGCATCGAGCGATCAGGACGTGCGCCACATGTCAAAGATAAAGAGAGAGAGAGAATACGGTGAAAGAAAGGGATTTTATAATATATGCTTTGACAAATGGCACCTGTTATGACTGTGAAAACAGGAAAACTATTAGGGTTGGCAAAAGTATTGAAAATCAGATACTAATTGATAATAAACCTAGAATCTAAACTAGAAACCCATTTGAACAGGTATCGTTACTAAAAAAAAGTCACATCAACAGGACAGAAATGAACCTGAATAACTTTAGAATGATCTTGAGCTGTAAGAGAACCAGTACGAGACCAAATATACCTGGGCACTTGAGAGATTACACAGATAAGACCTCGTGGCAATATAAAAAAATGAAAGTAACACTAATCAAATGTTGAAACCCTTTGGCATTTATCACCAGTGATGTGGGGGCGTTCAGGAGCCACAGGAGACCCAACTGGTGTCTCTCAGTATCCAAGACTCCAACCCTGAGAAGAGAAATCTGGTCCAGGACGTAACACCCCTGGAGGACAGCGCTTCGGTCAGGAAGCTGCGCAAAGAGTTGGAGCGAACAAGGGCCAAGCTTGCAGATCAGCTCCAAAGAAGCAATTAGAAGCAATAAAGGGCTTGGAGTTGCAAGAAATCACCGATACCCATCAGATGAAGGGCAAGCAATTACAAGACCAAGTTAACGCACATGAGGAGATCCGGTATCTGTATTATTCTAAAGTACAGCAAAATGTGCAGCTCCAACAAGAGCTTGCCAACTCCAAAAAAGTCACGAAAAAGCTTAAAGGCACTCTCCAGCAGAAAGATAAAGAGCTGGAAAACCAAGTTAGTGCGTACAGGGAGATAAGATATTTCTGTAATACAGTGAGACAATGTCCAGCTCAAACAAGAGTTAGCCAACACCAGGAAAGTCCAAGAGAAGATGATAAATGAAATTAAGAGAGTAAAACTGCAATGTGAATGTTTGTTTTTCCCCTCTGATTTATTGCCTGTTGGAAGCAATTATAATGCTTAGAGAGGTTTGGAATAAGTTTTAGTTTTTGTTTTGTTTAACTTATTGTGTCAAAAATTTAAAATATTCATCTGATTATCAAATATCTTCATCTCTCTCTTCATAAAATGTATCAGACCACACACTGCATTCAAGTTTACTCTATATGAGGCTGCAGGACAGTTTGGTGGTCATATATAATATGTTATAGTATATGCAACCCTCAACCAGCAATGATTTTATAACATCGACCCTTCTCCAATTGAGTTTGTGACCCCTGGTTTAAATAAAGGTTGTTTTTTACGGTCATTGCATCGGAATCGAATATCAAGTCTGTTCCTTAAAATTTAAAGTTTTTTTAGTTTGACATAAAATAAAATCATAGTAAAGTATATCTGAGTGCCTTGGATCTCCTTTTTCATCTGGTGAGTGTTTTTAGTATTGATAACACGAAAAACTTGGATATTCAAATTTGTATTTTTTGTTTTGTGTCAAATCTGTTTTTTCCTCCACAGGAAACAAAGATAAGATTTTAAACAATAGCTCAATCACTTTAACTTTTCTCAAAGGGGGGCTGCCACTTGCCTGTCTCAAAGCAAGTGATATTTCTTTCGTTGCTGTGACATTGCTTTTCTTGAAATGTTCCCTAGCATAGCATTAAACATGTCTATCTGGCATTTATTCAATGGTGCTTACAACTGCAGTCACCAGAAAGTGTGAACGGGTCGATCTGTCAAGCGTTTTTAACCTTAGTATTCAGTGCATTCCACATTTGATGCATTTAGTGTTGGGAATTCACATTCATCTCTCACTCCTCAAGTTAATGAGGTCTGCAGTGACAGCCGATTACAGCTCCACTCACCGCTCCACACACAAAATGTACTGCTGAAACAGAAGATTTGTTTCACAGTTCTTGTGATCATGCACAGGGATGACAATTTCTAACAATTAAAACTTAATTTCAGCAGAGTATGTGAACGGTTAAAGGTGCATTGTGTAAGGTTTCTCAGCTGCTTGTCTCCATGTTATTGCTTTGAGTGGAATTTTCTACTGAACTTCCTATTTTGCATTTCTTCAGTGACAGAGGTTTTTACTGTACATGGGATTGCCTCTCCACAAACCTGACCTGTAATTTGGTCTTGTGGCATCACCTGCTTGGGTAAGTTTAATGCCATATGGTGGAACATTTCAAGCAATGTAATACGATAAAGCAGGTGACAGACCCTCCAAGAGTAAATGTTCGTGCTGCACCTTTAACCTGGAAGTGTAAACATTTTCACTTTTCAAATAGTTTGTAATAAATTGTTCTCAATAATGGCAATTTCCAACTGAAAAACGACCTCCTTATTACATTTATTGGGGCATATTTGTCACCATTTGGATGCAGCCCCTTCTCCGCAGCAGCAGGAGCTCAGAATATAATAAGACAGACTCCATTTTCAGTCAGAAGAACAATTATGTAAATGCGATGGGGCAAACTTCACAAAGTCCCTCTATGCATTTTTAATACGGCTGCAGCAAGTTCACTTTTTCTTCCACACTTTCTTCACTAATGCATGGCCAAGTTCGGTTCATTTGTTTTTCTATTCAGTCTTAAGTAACCATAAACGAACAAAGATAAATATTAGCAAATTATCTAGAAGGGGCATAGAGCAGGGATGTCAAAAGTGTCAAAAATCAGATACTAATACTAAAAACAAATGTCACAGGACCAGGTCTCCAGTTCTCTGCCTTGTTTTATGTGTTTTAATTTAGTTTCCTGTCTGTCTTAATTTCTTCTGTGAAAGAGCTTGCAGCTGATTGGTTAACTGCTCTCAAAAGTGGCGTTGCGTCTTCACTTTTTATTCTGAGTTTAGACGAGCGTTTTCGGGAGGAAATCTGCGTGCATACGGTGACGCAAAAGTGTGTGGAATTTGACTGAATATGCATGCCAGGTGGCTCGGTGGTGACACTAGGTGGTGCTGCATGTGACGTAAACGTGTATGTGACGTGAGCAGATCTGACCAGAGTTTTGCATCTTGGGCAGTGTAGACAGAAACTCTGGGGGTGGTTTCAGATTTTTGTGTTTTTAAGCCTCAAAAACGTCATCACCGTCTAAACGAAAGACACTTCCGCAAGTGTTCTCATGTAAACAGGAACTGTGTCTCTTTCGTGTCAGCACTTTGTTTGTACTAGTTCGTGTCTGACTTTGTGTGTGTTGAGACACTTGTTTAGTTTAGTTCCGTTTCGTTCTTCTTTCTTTTTTCATTCAATTCTGTTTGTGGATTTACGTAGATTTACTTTGGGACACTTGTGATTTAGTTTTGTCGTGTGTCCCTTAGTTTAGTCACTCGTTTTTTGTATAAGCCTATGTAACTCGTTTTTGGCACAAAACTCATATATATGTTAATCTTGTTATTTTGTTTCTTAGTTTAAGTTATTTTATATACATATTTTAGCATGTTTGTTAATTTACCCCTTTACCTTCCTGTTAATTAAACATTACTTAATTTATACCATTTTCCAACTTCGTTTTTTTGTTACTTCCCTGACCCTAGCGAGCTCGATTGTAACAACTAGTATCGAAACTAGACACTAATTTGAGCAAGTATCGATACTAAAAACAGAAATGAACCTTTTCCAGAATAGCTTTAAAATGATCTTGATGTGAGTATAAGAGCACACAGACTAGTATACACCCTTGGTCTACTAAGGAACATGCTTGAACAACTGACAGATTACACAGATATAAGACCACATGGTAATATAAATCGATAAATATAAAAGAATGTAGTAGTATTTTTTAATGCTGAAATTGACTCTATTCCTTAATATCAAAATTGAGTTTTCAATTTTAGCATACAGTGCCAAAATGTGCCTGATTATAAAGATAAATATATGTAACCTTATAGGAACAATATGTGTAGGAATCTTGGTTTGGTTTGTCAGTTCACAAAGTTGACAAATAAAATATAAACTTAATAATGTGTTAATACATAGTTGTTTTGATCATTTTTCTCCCTAATATTTTCAGAAAAATAAAATGTTTATGTTACATCCAGCTCATTCATCCCAAGGGTTTGCGACACTTCATGTGTGTCAGCCTATGTGTGCACATAACGCACGCTATGACAGTCTCAAACATTTCCTTTTGCAAGCGGCAGCTCATAATAAAACAGATTTTACACCTAGATTTTCACCAACACAGCTTGTCAGCAAACAATTTTTCTTTCCTAACTGTCTTTTTATATTTCTGCCTCTTTTATGTGTACTACTACCTTTGCTCGTTGGTAACTTTGTTGATATCACTATTGATTTGACCAAGCCATTATAAGTTCACTATATAACTTCTGGTGGAGAGTAGAATAGAATAAAATTGATCTTATCAGGTAAAGCAAGACCAGAAAAGAGGTTCTTCATCTTTAAGTTTGAGTATCTCTACAACTAACTCTTTTTTTTTACATTTCTTCTTATACATACTGCTTTATCAAACTCAATGTAAGCTCTTAAAACCTGAAAAACAGAACTAGTTCATTGGCAGTGGTCCAAAGTTAGTCCTCACTTATCTTATGTATTCCAAGCATCGTTATTATCCACCGTGATGAGCTTAGAAGCGTCTTTCACAACTTTAAGAATCCAAACTCACAGGTCTTAACTTGGGAAGGGCATTCGATTAAATTTTCTTAATCAATTGTTGGGAGAATTAATGATCAATTTTTGATTAATCATTAACGTTTTTATATTAAAATTATCATCATTATTATTACTATTACTAGCCTCTGCCTTCCATATCCAACTCCTGCTGTCTCAGAGGGGCTAGGAACATCATAAAGGACAAAACACCTCCACGTCTTCAACCTGTTGCTTTCTGACAGGTGCTTCAGGTCCATACCAGCCAAAACAAACAGACTTATGGACAGCTTCTCTCCCAAAGCTGTCACCACACTTAACTCAAGTTTGCACTGAGAACTGTTAATTTGTGTGCACTCTGAAGGAGCAACTCTGTATCTCATTATACTAATAAAAACTCAAACTTATGTATAAATCAACTCAACTTTTATATTATACAACATATACCACATTTGTTTACATTTACAGAAACACTTAAACAGAAACATTTAATGGCATGCTAACATTTAAATATATAGTTGAACTTAAGTGCTGAAAAAATCTCTCCTTGTGCATTGATGCAGTTCAGCTTTTGTCCAATACCGTTGAACTGAGTAGAATATGAGTGTTCTTTCTGTGACAGAGGGATGTTGATGATGATGATGATGATGGTGAGTCTGTTCTGTGTGTAAATCGCGTTGGAGATCATATTTTCAGAGATCATACGTGTGCAGGTTTAGTGCAGCTCTTTATTTAACATCATTTCACTCACTTTATTTACGTTGGTCACTTTATTTACTTTGGCTACTATTGTGATGAAAAGACTGAAAAGTGTTAGTCTTTAGGACGCATACACACTCCGGGATACTCAAAAAAGGAGGTACCAGAGCCGAAACGTGGGACTGTGAGGCCGCAACTCCAGTGTTTGCGCTGTCAGACGCAGCCTCGTCTCCTCACGCTACGCACAGCAACCGACATTCGGTTTGTCAATTAAAAATGAACGATTATTGATTAGTCTAATCATGCCCATCCCTAGTCTTAACCACAAATAGCAGGCTAACACACACTTTCTTATTCTCTGACAACAAAAGGCTTCATAATTAGCTGCAGACCGTACACAGCGGACATATTTTGACCTCAAGAGCTGCTTAAACAATACGTTTGTACTGGGGCAAGACGAAGTTTGATCAAATACATGAAAAAGTTTGGTACATGCCCTTTAAAGTAAGTTAAAGTGTCTTCCTCCTCCGGTTATTTCTTGCTATAAATCTTCATTGACTTCCAGTACTGTTTGAATTTAGATGTGGCGTTGTATTATGATGGAAACCTGTCTATGAGTTCAGACTGGTGCAAAACAATGCCATAAATCAGTTCTTTCATAGGCATCTTTTACTGAGAGAAGCTTTTGGCTGGAGATGGTTCTGATTTAATAGTACATTTGATTTATAGTTATGTTTGTGGACACAGAGAACAGGCCTAGACCGGATAGCATAGAGTTTTGATTTGTAAAGTGCACTTCCTTGAATTGAGTTTGGGGAAAAGGTTGAATGAAGGTTATCAGGAACGCAGTAACAGCCAGCAGACGGTAATTTTAATGCAGGAATAATAATAAAAAAGAATGGGACTATTACACGGGGCAGATTGGGTTACGAGGCACTTTCTCAAAGATATGCAGCACAGGGGAGCTTAGGAAATAGCAAGAAATTACATGATTCGGACTGGAGAAAGGCGCTCCCAAGGTCAACAACCGTGATAAATGGGGCTGCTCCACACTGCCAAGTCACAATTCTCTACTCAAAGTCAAAAAGTACATAAATGAATGTCTCGAGATATATTTTTAAGTACTTAAGTTCACTATGGAACTTTTTTCCATATGACATTGAAAAACATAAATTCTGTAACTTGGCCTTGGTTCAGTCTGCTTGTCTCCATAGAACCAAGTTTAAAAAGTGCACTGCGTAACTTTTCTGGTGGAGAGTCCGTCACCTGCTTCTCTCCATGGAGATATTGGATTATTATTACTTATTTATTTCTATGGAGACAGCAGGTGATACCACAGGACCAAGTTACATGTCAGATTAGTGGAGAGGCGAGTCCACTCAGAGAGACGTTTTAAGGTCAATAAAATTTGTGTTATTGAGTAAAAAATAGATACATTTAAAGCCAAACCAGGACATTATAGACAAAGCAATAGCATCTCCATGGAGACAAGCAGGTGGCGGACCCTGACAAGTCACACATGTCATATTGTGGAAAATTACAGGTAATAAAAACAGCATCTAACGAGACAAGCAAGTTACATAGTAGAGGTCTGTGCGGGACAGAATTATCATTCCCACTCTGGCCCGCACCCGCAAAGAATTGTAATTTTCATTGCCGCTCCTGCCCGTATCTGCGTTATTTTGTCCAGCTCCTGCCCGCAAATCCCGCAAGATGGGGGCGTTCGCTTTCTTAAGCTCTAAACACAAAGAAGCGGAAAGAAATTGTCTAAAATGTGCCTGAGATTAGACCACACTGGCAAGTTTAGGCTGCTTAAAATGTTTTTATTAATGCCAAATAAAATATCCAGCACAGATTACGTATGATAGGCAAACATTAATCATTTGTATATTTTACTTTACACTCATTAAATATGAAATATTTAAGGGTTTATCATCCCACGCGCCCGCTCCCGCCAGCAATGAGATTTCAAAATGTGTCCCACGCCTCAATGTTTTGCGTCAGGTCCCTCGGGTGCAGGGCTCTATTTCACTTTGCACATTTAAAGATAATGCACTTCCTGCTTGTCTCCGTAGGGATGTTATTGCTCTGTCAGGAATATCCCACAGTGTGGCCTTAAACGCATCTGATTTATAATCTAACAGACGGTGACACCACAAGGCCAAGTTACCGATCAGATCTGTGGAGAGACTAGCCCACACCTCCCCGTAAGAAAGCGTGTTTTTCAAGGTATAATTTACCAACTGGTTAAACAAACATTGTACTAAATGCAAAATGGATCAGTTCAATGCCACATTATGGAATATTTTTGGCAAAGCAATAACATCATTTAGATTCTGAGCAGGTTTGTAGGTGAATGTCATTTTAAATCCATTATGCTAATGTCCACAGACGCTCGCCTAAACACGCCGCACAAATAATAGCAAAATGGAGATAGGATAATCACAGCCATTTCAGCGAACAAACAAAACACCTTATCTCAAACTTTAACACGGGCTTTGTACAATGGCAATGTGTAATTCCAAGGGTGAAATCAGTGGCCAACATCTTGGTTGTTTACTCTCAGATTGAGTTATTTTTTATTGACAGTCTTGAACGAGAAGGTCAAGCGTTCCGACATTTATTGATTTTATAAAACCAATGGTCCTTTTTGGGCCGTGTAAGGAGGAGCTCAGTCGACCATTTCTATATTAGCAGAGGTGGGAAGGGGAGCAAAATTTACTCAAGTAAAAGTAACGTTACTAAAAAATAATATTACTCAAGTAGAAGAATTTGGAAAAAGTACTACTCAAGTAAGCGTAACTTAAAGACTTCATTTGTCAGGACGTGATTTGAAGTTAATGTAATTTGAAGAACAAAACATTAAATCAAATGAATAACTTCCACTCAAAAATGAGACAAACTAAATCATATCTGAAGGAGTAATGTAAGAAACACAAATGTCACTTGTAGACTAACTGACAGTGGAAACAGTAATGAAAACTTTAATAGTACTGTTACTTCAATAAAAAATGTACTTTTCTGTGTATATGTCTAGGAACATACTTTTGCTCCTACTTGAGGAACAATTTCTTTAAAATGTTAGTCATAAATGTAACTGAGTACTACCCACGTCTGCATATTACTGTGTCTATGCAATGTCTATATTAACCATTGTAGAGTTTAGGCATAACATTCTGATAATCTCCCTCGAAATGCAGCTCTATAAATCTAAAAATGTGCACGTACCTCTGCCATGTTGATAAGGCCCAACGCCAGAGTCTTGTATCCGAGGATGGTCCTGTTTTTGTATCGTTTTCTTCTCTGCAGCATGATCTGGAGTTTGTTGGCATCTCTTTTCAGGAAATGTGGGTACTGCCAAAGAAAAATGTAAAAAAAAAAAAGCTTAAAATAATACAAAAAAAATGTTTGTGTGAAGTTTATTTAATTATTCAACTTGCCTTGCACTTGTGAGAGAGTTGTTTAAAAAGTAACTATAAAAGGAAGGGTCTGTGCCATAGCAATAATCCTTTTTCACTTCTATATTACAAACTTGTGCTGAAAGGTGAGACGTCAGTAAAAATTAGACTACATTAAGCTTTACCACATTGGAGCATAGGCTAATTAAAGCTGGCCGTATGTTTGCAGTGGGACTGTTAATGATGTGAGAGGTGCTGTTGCTATGAGAGATGTCAGTGTCAGTGAAGGTTTCATCCAGGGCTCGAGTTTTCTCATTGAACTCTACGTAACAAATCAATTACTCACATGGAGGATGATGTAGACAGTTTTCTTTATTAAGAGAAAAAGATACAATATAATGTCACTAATAAGAGTACTTTAATGCTTTATTGATTTCTAATAATTAATAAAGCATGAAAGATAAATTTGAATCAAATTTGGCATTGTAATTGAAGTACTAAGTGAAATACCAGAATGTAGGTACTCGTTTGGCGCCTTGACCTGATTTTGTCCTGGTTTAGACCCAGTTTAGTCTCATCTTAGTCCCAGTTTAGCCCCAGTTTAGTCCCAGTTTAGCCCCAGTTTAGCCCCAGTTTAGCCCCAGTTTAGCCCCAGTTTAGCCCCAGTTTAGCCCCAGTTTAGTCCCAGTTTAGCCCAGTTTAGTTCCCATCTGAGTCCCATTTTAGTCCCATTTTAGTCCCATTTTAGTCCCATTTTAGCCCAGTTTTAGCCCAGTTTAGCCCCAGTTTAGCCCCAGTTTAGCCACATTTCAGTCCCATTTTAGTCCCATCTTGGTCCCAATTTAGAGTTATATTTTATCTTTATTATATTTTACCTATCTATACCTATTATAGATTTTTAGACTCTCTTTAGTCCCACTTTAATCTATGTTTTGTCCCTGGTTTAGTCCTGGTTTAACCCTGGTTAATCCTGTTTTAGTCCTTGGTTTAGTCCTTGGTTTAGTCCTTGGTTTAGTCCTTGGTTTAGACCCTGGTTTAGACCCTGGTTTAGACCCTGGTTTAGTCCTTGGTTTAGTCCTTGGTTTAGTCCTTGGTTTAGTTCTTGATTAGCCCTGTTTTAGTCCTGTTTTAGTTCCTGGTTTAGTCTTTGCTTTAGTCCTCACTTTAGTCCTTGATTTAGTCCTTGTTTTGGTCCTCGCTTTAGACCTTGCTTTAGTCCTCACTTCAGTACCTGTAGTGAGAAGGTGAGCTGCAGGTCTGTTTCGGTGAGTCCGGCTGATGACAGTAAGATCTCATTTGAGCGGAGGATTCGTTTCGAGCCCTGAGAAAAACAAAACAAATCACAACACAAAGCAGAAATCATTATTAAAAGACAGAAAAGACAGAATAACTCCTGCTGTGACAAAACAATGAACTCAATCAATCATCACCCACATGCAGAGAAGAGAAAGAAGAGAGAGAGAAGAAGAGGGAAAGATACAGATAGAGATAGAGAGAAGAGACGGAAGAGATTTGATTTTTAACAGATTTATTTTGTTCTGTCAAAACAATCTGCATTAAATTTAATCCACACCTCTGAGTATTTACACTACATATACACAATATTTGCATAGAGACAGAGAGAAGAGAGAGACAGACAGACAGAGAAAGAAAGAAAGAAGAGAGACGTGGGATTGATGGAAAGGGGTTGCTGTATATAATTAGCCTGATTCATTAGCTGGTTTCACTTTGTGGAAACTGTCTGACCTCGCAGTGTTAGGATTCGTTCACTCGACAGTAGGTGGGTACTTTTTTTTATTTAACTAATCGCAGCTATTTGGTCGTTACGTATGTAATGCACCAAATCCCGTAAGAAGAAGGGCAAAAACGTCTTTCCCCTTGATAAAATTCACCAAACATTCTCTTTGTTCCGGCTTTAAATCCTCGATCTCGGGAATCGTTGCCAACACAGAATGTATGGCTTTATCTACATCCATCTCGACCGCTTTGTTTATTGTTGTGCTGAACCACAAAAGGGACCCAGACAGACGCTTCAGTTTGATGTCATGGCTTCACAGCTCTTCACTGATTGGCCGGACTCGCACTTCCAGGGTTCTTGCAAACCATCTAGTGTATTCTGATTCCTGACCTAGTCGCTGGAGAGAAATGAAATTGAGTGGAGGCACTAGGTAGCGCCAGCCTGGCTAGTATATAATAATAATCATTGTAATAATAATCATAATAAATATTTATTTATAAAGCACTTTTAAAAACAAGGTTTACAAAGTGCTGTACAAGCAGCAACGAACAATACAAAAAGCATAAAAATAGCATAAAGAAGGCATACAAAAACAGACAATGATGCAAACAATCCAATTAATTATAATAAATAAATAAAAAGAAGTAGGATAAAATAAATAAGGAAAAAAAATCAAGCTAAAACCAGTTAAAGGAAGGCCAACCGATAAAAATGTGTTTTAAGAAGTGATTTAAAAGATGACACAGCTAATTTATAAGTTAACTACATTTAATACCGATTTAGGGCAGCTAAAATGAATATAAAGTTAAAGTGCAGTTCTGTTATGTTGCAGTGAGTTCTTGAGTCTAGTCATGAATAGAAATGATCAGGTTCAACATTTGTGAATTTACCTTTTAGACATTTCAAGGCAATGCACAATGTCATCAACAATGAAAATCTGACTCTTGCCCCCCATCTGGGAGCCTGACAGATGGGATCTGAAACCCACCAATAAGAATCTGAAACCCAGCAATAAGACTGCATGGTGAAATAAAACACCAACTGTTATTATTTTGTGTTGAAAATGTCATTTGATTGTATTGTGTTTTTATTATTATGATTTCAAAATGGGAATGAGCACAGAGACATTTCCCTAGTATTAAAATAGTGTTTCAATTCGAGTATTGTGAGAGCAAGAGACGTAGAAATAAAATGAATCGATGTTTTATTCATTAAAAAAAGTGCTTTGTAATAACCAGTCTAGTCTACCTTTTTTGGCATATGCATACAATATTAAACCCTTAACGTTGTCTTTTTGGAGAAGGAGTTTTGTACATTGACTTTTAGGCTGGAAAAAAAATAAACACAATTTTAAATATGCCAGAAAGCGACCCAAACAATTAATATTCAAAGAAGCTCTCAAGAGTAAAGAACATTGCAAGCCTTTCAGTTAATTCAGTCTATCCATTAATTAAAACATTACACGATATTGGACTCTTTTGATGGCGAGATTAAATTGGAGAAAGTGAAAGTGCATAATTAAAGTGTAGCGCAAGTTATTAAGTGTGAAAACTGGATTATAATTGGAAGATAATTAAAATGTAAATTACATTATTTTTTATGAATGATACAAATTGATATAAAGAGTTTATTTGTATGACTTACATGTCTTATTAAATACTGTTTTAAGGACTGAACTATAAAGCTTTTCTTTGTTGAAAAAAAGATCCATAGCACTCCAATATGCGTAGTTATTTTTTTCTTGTCTTTTTAAATCAGAACATGCAATGATAACAAGATCTTACATGCTCACCCCTAAGGACGTCATTAAAAATCCCTTTCAATCGATTGAAAGTCGTATTTTTCTGATTATGTCAGTAACATTGTACCTGTAGTTTGACGGCGATGACCACCGACGTGAGGTCCTTGTCCAGTTCCTTCAGCATGATCAGCTTCTTCAGAGTCAGGTTGAAAAGTCTGCAAAACAAAAAAACAGACAGTTCAATTATAGATGGATTTTTATGAAGCAAATCTGAAAGGCTGTAATTATTTCAGAGATACAAGCTGTAACTGAATCTTTCCATTAGGACAACTGATCAAGCAAATAATATATATAACTACTGAGGACAGAATTGACTCAAGGAAGACAAGAAGAAAACTGAGGTATCTTTATGTTCCCAGCATTTACATCACCTGTGTGTCTTTTGCCTAAAATGTTCCGTAGTATTTTAAATGTACCGTATTTTCCGCACTATAGGGCGTGCTTTTAAGCTTCCAACCCCATCAAAAAACGACTGCGTGCTCTGCAATCCAGAGCGCCCTATACACGAATCCACTCGGGTGTCCCAGCACGACTTCAGTAAACTACAAAGCCACACTCATCACTCCACGCCGACGAGGAATGGAACAGAGGAACGAACCGAAAAAGCGAGTGCAATGTGCCACTTCTAGACACAACTGAACAACTGAGTCACTGCGGACACGCCAACAATCCAGCGGTCCCAGACAGCACCCTCCCTACACGCCACAACTGAACAAAGCCCAGAGTCACCGTGAACGCGCCAAACAAAGTCCCACTGACCCATCTAACTTGTGTTTCATTTCAAGTCCAGTGTGGTATATTTGTGAAAAAAGTTCAAAAATAGACCATTTTATGACAGTGCGCCTTATAATCCAGAGCGTCCAATGGAAACAACATGGTCATGGAAACAACAAAAGCAAGCAGGCCACCAGGCTAAAGGCCGCCACACATTGCAGGAGAATTTGCCAGATTCAGGCTGCGATTTGTTTCTCCCAGAGTTCAGGGAGGCATGACCCGACTTTGCATCTTCATGTGCAGTTTTGAAGCCACTGCGCTCCTTGTGTGTGTGGTGTCAGTGTGACTCTGAGCTGCTCTGTCAGATCAGAACCACCAAACATCAGCAAGACTGCAATAACAGCCAATAAAACAGAGCATCAGAGGAGTGACAGACACAGGAATGGAAGATACAAATTCAGTAAACAGCGAAAATAATTATTATTCACCCCTCAAAGTTGCAAATTTAAACTGCAGCATCTCATCCACACTATCCATAGAACTTGTCCTCCATAAATAATGACAACCAGTCCACAAAACTGCACTTTTAAACCAGTTTGAAGCGTTCTTTAAAAGTAAAAGGGCAAGAGTAGTTCCTCACATGTGTTTGTTTACATCCACACAGAGCACAGATCGAGGTGAAGCTGCAGATTAGCGATAGTGACTCTACTTCATGTGGACTTTATTGCCAATCTTTTATGCTTTAAAAATCATATCTCTGAAGTATTGCACCACATTTCACAAATAATAATAACACAGTCTGACTTCTATCTAAACTTGAAGTGCAGTGCTGTGACCTTTTGAACACTTAAGAGTCTCAAAGCGAGTGGTTTTACTCTAGACAGGAAACAGCTGATGCGATCATACTCACAACTTCATAGCCTGTGGTCCGCAGAAATATCTGACAGAAGTCTGCGCTCATAAGATTTTCCTAGTGTCCATGATGTGCGCTTTTTGTCGCACATTTAAAAATCATTTAAGACCGATAAATCCAGTAGTGTGTGGCGGCCTTAAGTTAAAGGGAAACAGTATTCCAACGAGGAGAAAGGACAAGCACACTCCACCAGAAAAATTGCATAATGCTAAATTAATTGTAAGACAGTCAGTGGTTTTACTTTCACCAATTTAACTTCGAAGTTGTGTTGTTGCAATACTAGAATTTCAAACTTGATTTTGATACTAAGGAATTTACTTTTTACTCAATCCCTATTCAGATACAATGATAATAATTTAAAAAAAACTCGTTAGACTCTGAAACATGTGCAAATGAGTATCTAGTTTTGATCCTAGTTTTCATCAATTAGGATCTGATTTTCAATACTTTTGCCAACCCTACTTCATTATGTTAAGTTATTTGATTTTTGCGCAGTCACAGCTAAAACCAAACAGACTGGAGATGGTGAAAATAAATCGATAAACCATTGTGAAGAAAACGGGCCACACCCAAAACAGGCTGTGTGCATGTGGAGGTCATCGGCTCAATAATGCATCTGTGCGGTCTCCCAAAGTAACTACACAACGATAAAGCAGAGTGGACGACACAACAGGGAGAAGGACCAGACTGGAGCTGGGGCTTTCAAACTGCAGGTTACGACTCACAAGAGGTACTTAACATAGCGTGTCAGTCGCTCCACTCCTTCAGAGCAACATCACAACACAATCGGCTGCAGTAGTATTGGACTGTTTTTTTTTATCATGTCTTTGAATATTTATGAAAAATTGCCATGTGGGAGCATAGATGACATAGGGTTGTGGGTTAAGCACTGGGCAGAATCATAGCGCTAACCAGTGTTTGAACAGAGCCTTATACTTTTTATTTATTAGATTTTCATGTTTTGTGTAGTAAAAAACAAACAAATACAACCAATACACAGCTTGGGGCACTGTTCTACTGCAATAAAGACATGGAAGGGTGGATCATATCTCTTTTTGTTTATATTCCAACCATTATGTCAAGCATTTAATGAAGAAATGTCCTTTGAGATGTAAAAAAAAAGTCAGCCGTTCCATTGAATATTTTTCTTCTACAATATTTAGCCGCTGATTCACTGAAGCTGGGTCCTTTTTAAGCCAGCTTCTTGTTGTTGCTTTTTTTTGATGCCAGTGTCAGAATCTTAAAAAGGTATCTGTCCGCTTTTTCAAACACCTATCGAGGCAGAAGGTCTAACAAAAATATCTTTGGGTCCTTGGAGACAACATAAGCCAAGATCATGTCTGTTTTTTCACACTAACACACTATCCCAGAATGGTTTTAATTTTGTACTTGTCCAAAAAATATGAGAGTGATTGGTGTTTGAGTGACATTCAAGAATTGAATGAGACATTTCCACCCAAAAAAAACTTTATTTTTATGACTTAGAGTTAATAAATATTGTTAAGGACTAAATTATAAAGCTTTTCTTTGTTACTCAGAACACGCAATGATAAAATGATCTTACATGCCTTCCCCTAAGGACTGAGAGAGAGCAAGATTACATGCACGAATGACATATGAAACCACTTCAGCCGTGTTTGGATGAAGGAGCAACATTTTAACACAGTAGACAGTAGTGTCGTAGTAGTACTCCGGTCTTGGTTTTGAGACCGGCCTTGAGACCGTTTCTTTATGGTCTTGGTCTCGTCTCTGACTCGACCACATTTGGACTCGGTTGGTTCTCAGTCATGAGGTCTGACACTCGTGACACTTAGTGATAAAACGGAGATAGATTTATTAAAAAACATTGACATATGTGCCAAAATAACTGTAAAATACAAATAAATGTCAAAAATTACAAAAACAATGTTGATTTGGTCTTGATGGGCCGTGGTCTCGGTCTTGTCTCGGTCTCAGTCTTTAAATGTCTCAGTCTTGTTCCGGTTTTAACCCTCAGAGGTCTTGGTCTTGTCCTGGTCTCAGGACCCTGTGGTCTCGGACAGGTCTTGACTACAACACTAGTAGACAGCTCCAAAAAAATAAATAAATAAATAGATTTTTCCATAATACCCCCTTTTTTAGTGCAGTTAAGTCCTGCTCTAGACCAGTGCATGTTTTTCAATGTATTTTTGCAATGTAAACCCCTAAATGCAAGATAGGTACTGTAAATTTATTGCTACACCATCGAGACCAAGTGTGGTGAGCAGAATTAGAGCTCAGAATTGTACCATACATGAATGAATTTTGAAACCTGTCAGCAGCAACAGCATTGGGGAAGTGCAGATGAGTTAGATCCTCATTGGTTTTGACTTGTGGTTCAGACACTATCAATAAATCTGTGTGTTTTGAATCAATCATGTGACACTAGAAGTAAACAGGACAAAGGGTAAACAGAGTAGAGACTGATGTTTTAAATTGTGTTTGCTACAAGACAATTTATGGCTTGGATGGTTTTGTGTGGATAAGACATGTGCAGTATAAACATGGTGAGGCTTGTCAAAATGTCAGATTTTTGCATTTTGCGAAATAGCAGCAGGCTTCAAGAGTTACAATTCTCATCCCTCGTTCCAACTCTTTACAAGACGGATAAAGCCAGCTGCCTCCACTCCTCCCAAAATAGAGTGATATGGTAGATGTAAAAAGCTTCATCAAATTCGCCAAACTCCTCATTCCCCATTATACATCTGATCCCATTATCAGGCCCGGGCAGCAGCTGCAGCAAGTGTCTGAAATATTTGGATGCTAATGTTAAGATCATATTTTATATTCATTTAGGCTATAATTACATGCTAATGGAATTTTTTAGCTTTTCATAAGTTGTATCAATCTCTATTTACTTACAGTATGTCTGTGCTTTTGTGTGAGCTTGACAATAACATGTTGTGATTAGACAGTGACAGACAAAGAAGAGACTGACTTACTGAGTAATCATATCACTGTATTTTCTTTGTCATGACAAAAGAATAAGAATAATAAAAATAAAAACATAATAAATGTACTTGGTAACCTGGCTTGGTAGTGCCACCGGCTTATCTTTATGGAGATGTGGTTGTCTGCCTGGAATGTTTCACAGTAAATGTTTGCCAGCTGGCGCCACCTAGTACCTTCGCTCAATTTAATTTCTCTCCAGTGACTAGGTCAGGAATTGGAATACACTAGACTGTTTGCAAAAACCCCAGGAGTTGTAGACCGCACACCGGCCAATCAGCAAAGAGCTGTGAAGCCATGATGTCAAACTCAATCATCAGTCTGGGTCCTTTTGTGTTACAGCACAACAGTAAACAAAGAGGTCGAGATGGATGTAGATAAAGCCATACATTCTGTGTTGGCAATGATTCCTAAGATCAAGGATTTAAAGCCGGATCAAAGAGAATGTTTGGTGAATTTTATCAAGGGGAACAAGGTTATTGCCCTTCTTCCTTCGGGATTTGGCGGATTACATACATCACAACTAAATATCAGCAAACAAGCGAACAGTGAACAAATCCT